TTCTTACGCGAATTAAGGGTGCACTTCCAGTGATCTAACTTACAACTGCAGTATATCTGTTTATCCCTATTTCCATGTTTTGAGTGCATTCGAAAATCAACACAATTTCACAGCTCGTACCGTGCATGTGCAATACATCGAAACTGGACATATCCATTATTAACCCCTCTTTCCATTTTTCATTGAATGTGGAAATTCTCGAAAAAAGGAAATAAATTCTGACAATTTATCCCTTAAGTAGAATATATCCTAACATGCTAAATCCAATCTTCACCCCAATTTTCCACTTTCTCAATCAACTCTAGAAACAGGGGGTTATTATGACAATTCATCCTACAAGTGAATAATATCATAACTTTTCCATATCCAATCTTTACCCCGATTTGTTCAATTAACTGTAGAAAAACGGGAATCGTGATAATTCGAGTGGTTAACATCATGACTGCGACGTCCAATCTTTACCCCGATTTTCCATTTTTCGAACGAGTTCAAATCTTTACCCTAATTTTCCATTTTTTTTCGTTTATTAGAGACAAATAGGGTAAAATCTGACAATTAATCCCACATGTGGGATACATTATAGCTTTTCATAGTCAATCTTCACCCCGATTTTCCGTTTTCTTGGTAAATTCTGGAAAAACGGGGTAAAATCTGAGTATTCATCCTATAAGTGGAATAGAGCCTAATACGTATATGTGCACGATCCTTCGCAGTAAAGCACTATTTAAGCAATAGTGAAAATCAGACCTGAAAAAAATTCAGGCCTGTACGGGATTCCCGTGCAGGGAATTTTTTTCAGGAAATTTTTTTCAGGAATTTATTTCAGGTCTGATTTTCACTATTGCTTAAATAGTGCTTTACTGCGAAGGATCGTGCACATATACGTTTCATAACCGCAGTTCATATATATGCATTTCATATGTTTGTTGTTAGAACCTAATACGTCGCATCATAGTTAGTCTACTAACTATGGTCACATTCAATCTTTGTCCCGTTTTTTTTGCTTGTTTTCCAAGAATTCTGTAAAAAATGGGGTAAAATCGAACAATTCATCCTGCAAATGAAACATATCCCAACTTGTTATGTGTAATCTTTACCCGACTTTTCATTATTTTCAGAGAATTCCAACGTTTCCAATGAATTATAACTCGGTACATCCCTGATTTTCCGTTTTTTCTAATAAATTCCAAAAAACAGGGTTAATTCTGAAAACTCACCCCATAATTCAATCCGGTCTTCTATTTTATTTCAATGAATTCCAGAAAAAAGGGGATGGTAAGTTATGAGAATTTATATTGTAAACCGAAGAAAAAGGGCATTTAGAACGGAAAAAAATATCTTGCACAGCAGCAAAAATTTCTTGATGTCCAGAAATCACCCACCCCCCCTCAAAAGTTAAATGGTCAGCTCCTAAATTGGAACATAGTCTGTGCAGTCCTCTCCCTCAAAAATGGAAAGCCATATTAAAGAAGAATCATTTCCCCTAAATTTCTCAAGACAAACCTCTCTCTTAGTAACATATGTTTCTGGGGAGGAATTGCTGGAAACTTTGTCCTCTTGCACTGATTGTCCATCCGCTGATTTTATCAGTTGCTTTACGAGCTGAATATTTTGTTCAATTCTCTAGAATTGCAATGGTAAATGCATCAAGCTGCGTTGTTTCAGAAAGGTCTACTGCTAGGCAACTTAAATTGTTTGCCAGTGCTTGTGAATGACTTCTGGTGGTAATGTGAAGATTGGATGACATAAATGTTATCATTATTAGGGTTATGATGGTGAGTATCATGTAGAAAAACTGCATTCGTTGGTAGTTAAAATGTTGAGGCAGAAGTCTGTTATATTTTTGACTGTTTAGTAGCTTGTAGCACATTCATCCTCAAATTCTGTTGGAAAATATAAAATTATTCACATAATTGTCAGGAAATCTCAAAAGTGCAGGGTGGGAAGGAAAGAGAACGTATGGTGTTTAAGCAGATAAATTACCAGATTTTATTTTCTGTTACTGCTATTAAATTCACGCTTTGAATAACTCAATCTGCTCAAGTAATCTAAATTTATTACCGGTTTATGTTGTTAAAACCTGCCATGAGAAGCCATAAGAGACTAGCTGGTTCCCCTTGCTTAACTGCTCAGTTTGTCTACAGCACACTCCACCACACTCTTTTCTAATTTCACAATTCGTGCAATGCCCCTGTTGACATCAGTGAAAATTTAGCACATTTTTCTGATATGGGCGTTTTGGCTTGCATTGGCACTTACTGTATTTCTTCACTGTCGGTACTAAAAGTTGGAATCACCTGAAACCACCTGAAACCATCTAAAACCACAAAGGAAACCTTCAAGGAAACATTCCATTGTTCTTGTTGAAAACACACTCAATTAGCTCTACGAATGGCTGGGAGTTGCACAGGAATATGCGAAGTCATTTCTTGACAAAGCACTTGTGACAATATCAACATGCGATCGCAAATGCAAAGAAGAAACTTTTAAATAGAATGAAATACATGAAGATTTTTCAACGGGATCATGCAAATTAAATATCAAAAAGCCCAGGAAGGCCTGAAGATTTTCAAACTTCCTTAGGAAATTTTGAACATTGTGTTTCTTTTTAACCAGAGACAAATTTATAGCGTGACCTAAAATTTCACTGACTTTGTTTTTGCAAAAGTGAAGTATATGTGGATTTTTTGCAAGGTATTTTACTGCAAATGACAGAATATAGCTGATGAACGGTAGCTTTAACTTCCACTGCCTAAGTAAATTGACTAGATAGTTGAGATTTTGAGAAAAAAAGCCTAAAGCCCTGTTTGTGGTGCCTATTCTGTACTGTAGGGCATTATATACAATATCCGTAAGCCGGGCTCCCTGTGGATAAACTCGATTGTTAACACTTATTTTCTGATGTTACCCATAATTTTTTAGGTGCTTTCATGTTGTTTTACATTGTTTTGAGATATTTTCAGGTAATTTCAGATGGTTTCCTTGGGGGTTTCAGATGGTTTGAGTTGGTTTCATTGATGGTTTCAGATGGTTTCAGGTGGTTTCAGGTGATTCCAACTTTTAGTACCTACAATTTCTTCACCTATAAGCTGAGACCCTGAAAGTCAGGGTCTTTCCACTAGACTCGAGCTGCCCAAAAAAAAAAAAGTAAAACCATTGGCTATAAGCCAAGAGCAAAATTATTGATTGTAACTGGCTATTTGTGTGAGTGAAGCTCATGGAAAACATAAGAAATTGAAACCCAGTAACAAAGTGGTTTTGCTTTTATTAAAATACAAATAGGAACCTGGTAGTTTAATGTTACAACTGAAATATAGTTAGTATTATGTTTTCCAAGTAATGCCCAGAATAATCCAGACCTTAACATTTCATGACTTCTTGTAAGCTTGGCAGTCTTCTAAATTTGCTTCATAATGGTTCACTAAGCATTCATATTTAAACTTGGTAGCAATACATGTGTATTAAGCCTTGATTTGGTAGACTACAACTCCTTTTCAGTTGGTTTTGTTTAATTCATCACAATACTGATATACATGAAAGATTACACTCTTGATTGGCTGAAAACAGCTAGGTGCCTTTTTCATTTAACACTAGTGCAAAACTCAAGTACAAATGTAAACTAGGCTCAGCAACAATAGATCTCACTAGAAACCAATCAGATTTACACGAAGTAGGTTGTGCTGATTGATAAACACAATAGCTGACGAGAAAAACTAAAGCTTGGATATTTTTTTTTATCTTGGTAAACACTACCAAAATTGCATTCCTGAGTAAGATTTCAGCTGAAAGACAAATTTTGATTGCATGTCAAGTTGACCATTTACATGATGATGTCAAGTTCACCTATTCATTTCAAGTCTCCATGTAGCTTGAATTTGGGAAACATGCTGCCATGAAATTACAATTTCAATACTAAGAAAACTTGAAAAATTCTGGTACTTAAAATCACATGATACTATCATGCACTTCCCTGTACATTGAACTCTGTTATGTTTAAGTTATGTCTCTAATTACTGTTCTTGAAGTCTATTATCATAATGGTGACACTCATCCCTATTGAACTTTCTGTTAATTAAAACCTCCAGGTGAAATTGGAAATCTTATTGGGTTAAAAAATTATTAGCAATGTTAATGTAATGTTACTTCAGAGTACTACTTAACATATAATTTATTAAATTATTGCTTGTGTTCTGATACTGTTTTGCACCTTTTTTTCCCTAAATTCTTCCATTTGCAACCCCATATCCACCTACCTTCAACTTAATTTCTCTGTTTTCCTTAATGAATACATTCAAACCCGAATACAATAACTATAGTAAATGTTTTGCTCTCAACCAATTGAAAATAGAACTTTGTGCTCTAATGGAAAATAGAAAACTACGCTCAGCATTGTGTTACTTTATATGCATGTATTGTCCAAAATCAGTCAAACAAAATCAAGCTCCCAATGGCTTCTAGTGTAGAATACATCATTTCCCAAATGTCCCAGCCCTTCTGCAAAGGTTTGTCCTCATTTACTCACAGGGTCACAGGCTCTTTCATAGTGAATAATTAAAGAGTTTGTATAGTGGTTTAGTTGGACTTGCTTTTGAGCTCCGTAAAAGTTGTGTGAAATAATTCAAGAAATAAAGTCTTACCTTCGTAAAGAGTAGTCTGTGTTGTTCTCCTCGCGATTTGAGGCCGTTTTGATGTGTTTTAGCTTGACACCCTAAATTACCGGGCATAAAATACGGGAAGGTCGGAAACTTCTGTTGACACATGCTCGCTATATGGCCTACCGGTGATCAGATTTTTAAGAACATAAAAATTAAATCAGTACGAGTCGAACGAATACGCTGGTGTACAAATTTCTGTCTATGAAAAGAGTATACTAAGAGGTGGCTAACACGATTTTCAACGTCCGAGGGAACGAAACACTGCAAACATCACAGCACTCAACCATAACGGTAGGTTAGGGGGGAGGGGAGAGGAGTGGCCAACTTGCGTGGTCGCAGAAGATATATAAAATGGCGGCTTTATGATGCAAGCTGTCAGTTGATAACTTATAGTGGAGTGCCGGTGTAAAAATGTAATGAACGGCGTTATATTGGAGAGCATACATATCCAGGTAGGAAAACGCAAACATTACGTGCCAGGCCAATTTTTTAAGTGCCCTCAAGTGCTGCAGAGTATTGAATTTGCAACGAGCATCCCCGGACACGCGCGCATCGCCGTTGTAAACATTTCGCAAACTTTACTTGCTTTTCCAAAGAAGGGCCAGCATTGCATTAATTTGAAAGGAGAGCTGATATGATGATGTTTGCCCAAAATTTGCGTTTAACCGGCTTCTGTCCCTCGATTTCCTTATTCTATCAGAAGGTTAAGAAATTTTGATCGGAATGTGGCCGCCAAAACAGCAGAAGAAAGTCGTTGGTAAGACAGTACTCAGGAAAACGTTGAAAGGTTTCCAGCAATGCTATCCTTTTAAAAATCTGACCACCGGTAGGCCATAGGGTAGGCCATAGGGTAGGCCATGGCCTAGGCCAGGTTTTGTCCACACCCCTGTATAGGTCTTAGTTTTCAAGGGTATTCGTTTTCGTAACACCCGGTATCGAATACTTGGTAACGGTATCAGCCCATCCTTATTGGAGTGTGGGAGCGGGTGCACAAAGGCTAGATCTATTTTTCAACCTTATAAGTGAGGAAATGATCAATATCGATGTAACACGTGCTGTTTGTCTACTATCGGGATACGTAGGAAACGGTTCTTGATGAGACATAGCAAAGCTTTATTTTAGGTTGTCGTGATCAAGCACGTCTAGAGAATGACGTGAGGATCTCAATACACTCACTGAAGAATCATGCGGTCATTGTGTCACAATCAAGTGTCACGTAGGTTATGAAATAAAGAGCTATTGATGACATAAAATTATTGTAACAATCGAAAGCACTCATATTAATTTTGGGTCGTTACGAAGTTATGACACGGAATGAGACTGGGTTTTCTGCAGTTACTAAATGAGGTATGATGTGGAAACATACATCATAGCAATTCTTCAGCTTGCGTTCGCTCTTTACATATTGTGTATTTACCCTTAAATACTGATATACTGCTTGACCAAAGATATTAGACATTTTAGCTATGTTTTATCCAAGCCGAATTATAGAATTGGGCGCCCACTGTTTTCTTTTTCTGCGCACGTGCATGCGATCCATCGAGTTTGAACGCCATAGGGCAGTGCTCGCACTAAGATGGGTTACTTTACTCAAAGTGGCCAAGACTGCAGCTGGGAAAGTTGATTTTGCCATAATCAATGCAATAGGGGCAATGTCGAGTCCACCAAACTCATTTCGTACTCATTTAAAAACCATTTTTCCCAACACGACATGACATCAAAATAGAAAATTGGCTTCAGTACTCGTTTTAAACAGGTAATTGCATGATTTCTAGGAATAAATCAGTCTGACGAAGCCTTGATTTATCTAAAGCTGATCAAATTTGAAGTATTTGAAAACCTTACGAGTTCTGGTGTACTGGTATCCCAAATTCACACAATTACTTGTTAATTATGTGCATGCAAAAATTTGACTCTGTTTGCCTCTAATCGTATTCAATTCAATTGTGAACTGGTTTACAATAGAAGAGGTATTATAGCAATAATTTTTCTATCAGGAATACAGATTTGACAATTAATTAATTAAAATTTTCAAAGGAACTTTTGTTGCCCCTAATAAGAATTTAATGCTTGATTTATAATCACACTTTCAGTGAATTTTTGTTTCTCAAATGTTAAAAATTCAAACTGTTATGAGTTCAACTTTTCTTTTGCTTCTTTATTTAGTAATTTTACAATGCACGTGATCCATGAGATCACGTGACTTACAACCCACTTATCATAACACAAGCCCAACGTTAAGGAACCTTTTATGACATCTCAACAGTAGTAGGGTGGAGTGGACCTTGAAATATAATGGGTCACCTCACAAACATTTTGATTATTGTTGAATTTTATCAGTCTGTGCGGTGAGTCTCAAAGAATTGTTTAGGGTACATTTAAATTTAGCAATTTAAGCTTGATGAAGGGTTTTTTTAGTGAACGAGAGTCTGTGTATGGTTGCTGTCATTTGAAAATATTACAATATGACAGCTGATAAAACTACAAATAAGGCAAATACAAATAAAAGAGTATCTAAACTCTACTGTAACTTTCTTTTTACAGTTTCTGTCCACATAAATGCATATGCATGAAAGTACAAAGTTATTAAATTCCATAATTAATGTAAGTACCAATGCAAGCCAAAATGCCAATATCAGAAAAATGTGCTCAATTTTCACAGATGTCAACTAGGGCGTTGTACGAAGTAAGAAATTAGTAAAGAGTGTGAAGGAGTGTGCTGTGGACAAACTGAGCAGGTAAGCAATGGGAGCCAGCTAGTCTCTAATGGCTTCTCATGGCAGGTTTTAACATAACATATAATAAATTTAGATTACTTTCAAGAGCAGATTGAGTCATTCAAAGCATGCATGAATTGTACTAGAAGTAACAAAAGAAAATCCTTCCTACCCTGTACTTTTGAGATTTCCTGACAATTAAGTGCGTAATTTTATATTTTTTCCTACAGAAGTTGAAGATGAATGTGCTACAAGCCACTAAACAGTCAAAAATATAACAGACTTGTGCATCAACATTTTAACTACCAGCACCATGAGACAAATGCAGCTTTTCTACATGGTACTTGCCATCATAACCCTAATAATAATAACCTTTATGTCATCCAATCTTCGCATTACCACCAGAAGTCATTCACAAGCACTGGCAAACAATTTAAGACGCCTAGCAGTAGACCTTTCTGAGACACAACGCAGCTTGATGCATTTACCATTGCAATTCTACAAAATTGAACAAAATATTCAGCTCGTAAAGCAACTGATAAAATCAGTGGATGGACAATCAGTGCAAGAGGACAAAGTTTCCAGCAATTCCCCCTCGGAAACATATGTTACTAAGAGAGAGGTTTGTCCTGAGAAATTTATGGGAAATGATTCTTCTTATGGCTCTCCATTTTATAGGAAAGGTTTTGAGGGAGAGGACTGCACAGACTATGTTCCAATTTATGAGCTTGTGACTATGATTGTCACATCACCTAAGGAACTATCACCTGAAAACTTGAGAAAAGTGTTTGAAGGAATCGCCACATATTATCCAAGAGTTCCTGTAATATTTACATCAAACAAAACGTTAAAGGCAAAGAGGCTGAAAAAAACAAGATTAAATCATCTAATGTTCATGGCATTTGATGACCTTACACATGGAGAAACATGGTCCAAGTTACTCAAGAAGGTGACCACACCCTATGTGCTCTTTGCCCCAGATATCACGTACTTCACTGATGATGTTAATCTTGAACACCTTGTTCGGGTACTGAGTGAAAACAAGGATACCATCATTATTGGAGGAAGCCATAAAAATCAGCGGGGGGAGTGGGACAATAGCTGTCGTCAAGTGCAATTCAGAAATTGGACTGCATATTTTGCAGATGGTTATTACCACTCATTTAATGATTGTTTAGAATGTGATGTACTGCTTGGTCCATTCATGGCAAAAACCAAGAAACTCCAGGATCTTGGAATTGATGAAAAGTAAGTATTAACTAAAAGGCACTATGTTAAAGTTCAGTTGAGAGAAGAGCAAAGGAGAACAGTTTTCAGTGAGAAAGGGTGTTTCTTGAGCTCTTTGGTTGTTTTGTTCAGAGATGGAAGCCAGTCAAAAAGGTTTTAGGTGTCTATATTTAAGATGGTCTACCTCGTACGCAGACTGGATTTGGTGATAATAAATGGGCATGGAGGTCTGAAATTTTTATTGAGACTGGGTATTAATTTATGGTGAGGATCATGTAGGCTTGATTACCAGTACTGGCTCCAGTTCCCAAACAGTGGCTCCCTGAAGAGATGGCTGGATGTGTGAGATTTCTTTTGTTGGTTATAACCAATCAGACTAGACTTGAGTGTGGCGGAAATCAAGTCTAGGAAAATGGCATCGGTTTAGTCATATAATGCATGAAAATTTTAAGAAATATGTGTTAAAAAAAGGCTTACAAAAAGTTTTCACTGAGTATTTGACCTTTGTCTCCACCCTCTGCCATTTCTTGAACTGTTAAGGAAAACTGTTAAACTGGTTTGACAAACTCATTATTTCAACTACTATTTCTTGTTTTCCAGACTACATTTTGGTGCCTTTCAAGACTTATTCTGGCGATTAAAACTCAAACATCCAGAGAAAGTTGTTGCCAGCTGTCCTGATGTCATGTTTGACACTTATGAGCAGGAAGTTCCTGATGAAAAATTTGTCCACCTCACTCAAAAATGGGATGTGAAGAAATGGGTGGAATCTAATGGGCGAGTGCGTTGGTATGGATGCCGAAGAGGTGGGCATGCACATGATAATAAATCTTCCTGTGGTATATCAGCCACAGGACTCGCTGTTCCTCCTTGTGACTTGGAGAATCTTGCAGATATGGTCAAGTTTATCATGAAAGAATGCGAAAATGCTGGGATTTATTGTGAAGTTATGGAGGGATCTCAATTAGGTAATGTACTCTTGTGCCTATTTTGTATGAGGGAGGTGTAGCTCAAATGGAGCCTGTTGCCCCCTTTTGGATTCAAACAGGTTTGTGTTCACAACAGAATGAACAATTTCAGAGGATAGTTTTGGACTTTATCGGTCCTATACATTCTATAATTCTATGTGGAGTGAAGAAATATCTTTAAGTTGGAAAGACAGAAAATTTCCTCAGGTTTGAGTAGCTATTATTTTAAGGCTGTTGAGTAATATTAATCATCAAGCTAAAAAAAAAAATTTATGTGAAACCAACATTATGCAATAAATTGAAGGAGACCATTATTATGGTCATGACTATCACCATCATGGTGGTTGAATAAAATTGACAAAATATTTGGTACATCATCTCATACTAATTAGTTTGCTTCTGTTTTAGGGGCTGTTAAATTAAAAAAGGTTTTGCCATGGGAGCGTGATGCTGACATCCAGTTTCTTTCTGAGAACTACACAGCAATTCAAAAGCTCCGTCCAAGATTTGAGGCAGCAGGCTATAAATTTGAAGATAGAAAAGGAACTGAATGCTGCACAGATGGGCGTAAGACGTCAGGAATTTTTGTAATCTATAGAAATGGCTGGGGTGTTGACTTTTATGGAAGACCTAAGCTTGAGTCTGAGATGCTTGTAGCTAATGGTCAGCAGCCAACTAAAGTGATGTTTGCTGTTCAGTGGGTTACTGCCATGCGCAATCCGGGACTTTCTTCACGTAATCGATATGGACCCAATATTTATCGTCATGTAGAGCATTGGTATTACATAGGGATGAAGAGTGGGGGAATGCGCTACAAATCAGGTGTCTTCACCAAATGTCCCAAGCCAGGACACATAGGGTGTTTAAACCAGCTCCGCCCTGATGGCAATCTTCCATCTGGTGACAGCTTTGTGACCTAAATTGCTTTACACACTAACTTGGAATTGGAATAAGCCAACAGAAGCAAATTTTATGAAATGCATCAAAGTAGTTGTTTATGGAAAGGACCTTAAGAGGCCATGTAAAGTGTTTTTAAAAGGCTGTATTTGCTCACATTTGCTTGATGTCTGTGCAATATTTGCCCCAGTTGAATTGATGTTAAATGAAAAGTGATAAATAGACGCTTACTGGAAACAACTTTGTGGAACAACATGTGCAGTTTGCAAGAATATTGTAATGTAAGTTAGCACTACACAGGTAATTGCTGTAGAAGATATGTGATAGACCAAATTGTGGAATAGGCACAACAACACCTTGAGTAAGAGATCACACTAGAGTGTCAGTCCTCAGTGTCAGCAAGTAACAGTTTAACAGTGGAAATAACACAAAGTTTGTAGTCCATTGTAGAGAGAATAGGACATACATATATTTCCTGACAATATCTCTTTCAATGCACCTTTAATTCATTTTCTGCTAAATTCACTTTAAATTATTTTACAAAGGGGATCATCAGAAATAAGACCAAAGAATTTGGTCTTAATTATTTTGACCAAATGCTTACATATACTGGATTAAATATAAAATGAGCATGAAAGGTGTTCAGCTCCTCAATAATATGTAGATTTATTCCTGTTAATTTTTTTTTTTTGAGACTGATGTACTTTTTTTCTAGTTGCAGCTATTAAAATAATGGTAATTGAAATCATTAACATCATGAAGAAATCCATGAGTGAGTGATGACTCATTGATGTTATGCACATATTAACCATTAGTGACAAAGGTAAAGAATCCAATCCTACTGACTTGTTGGCCTATGTGTCGACTGACACACCACTGATGCATCTTGTGTGTTAGAAAGATAACCGGTGGCCAACATGTTGGCTGACAGTTGACTGACAGTCTGTTGATTGTCAGCTGACATGTTGGCCAATGCATTGGTAGGATCAGACTCTTCACCTTTACTGTGACCAAAACTGTAACGCTTTCATGGTTGCCGAGAATATCCCTACCTTCATTGCCATTTTTCATAAATACATCAGTTTTGTTTTGCCGGCAGGGCAGTATTTTAAGTGAAGAAATTGGTCATGACCTCAACCTCCTTATTAGATAGATATTCCCAGTTTTTATTGATAGTTATGTTAGAATTCAACATACATTGTTAAAATTTTTTAAATAGAGGGCGAGTTTTTTAGTTATTTCAACTATTCCGTGCCACCATCTCTAAATAAAGTGTATCAGTATATACTAAAACAGTGGATAGCATTAAAGGCGTGCTCTGATTGGCTAGTCAAACTCCGAATATCCTTTGCTATTTACCTCCGAGGAACTCAGGAAAAAATGGCGTGCCGGTTTGCATCTGTGACAAGCGAAGAAATCACTCAAATAACGATGAAGCAGTCCCTGAAAACACAGAAAGCGACTAAATTTGGTTTGGCCGTGTTTAAAGGTAATGGTAACCGGGAGTTTATCGATAAAAACCAATGAAAAAGGTTTTGTTTACAAATGCAAATTAATCTTGCATAACCTCACTTGTTCACTTGAAAATCAAAGTTAAATGGTATTTTTTTACAGAATGGTTTCAAATACAAAAAGAGTTTGCAACACCATTTGAAGAAATGTCGCCACCAGAGCTAAACAAATGTCTTCAGAAATTTTATCTGTCAGGGAAAAAAGGAGACGGCAGGTTTTACAACAAAAAATCACTTACCGCGATCCGAGCCGCGTTGGATCGTTACGCGCGGGAAAATGTTGGAATCATTGCTGGAATGTATGAAGACTTCTGAGTTCTTGGTGGTGTATATTATCTCACTGTTTTAGTATATACTAAAACAACTATTCACCTCAGTGTCGGTGGTTAGCGGTGAATAGTTGTTAATTATTATTATTTTATTGAGGTGATGAATAACTTGTTTATGCTCTTTCTCTCTCAAATCACTTTGGTTACCAGCAAAAAGTTGGTTTCAAATTAATTTGAATTAGCAAATGTGTCATCAAGTGGGTTCACAAGCAGCCCAAATTCCATTTGCAATTACTGGTAATTTTTCTTTCTTATGCACTCTCTAATTGACAGGTGTCAGATCATGACAGATACTTATAAAAAATGTTTCAACGTTTTCTTGGAAGCTTTTTAAATCACCTTTTATCCCTGTGGAAATAAAAATTTGAGTTCTTTTGGGAAGCATTTCATTAACACTGTAGAGAAAAATAGAAATGTTATTCACCAGCCTAGGTCGCACTGTACTGAGTATCAAATCTGCCTGCAGCCTAGGGCGGTACTTAGACCTCAGGCACAGTTTTCCCCAATACAGACCTCCTGTCTGGCAAATAACAAATATATCTAAAAATTTTGAGAAGCCCTAATTACACACAGACTACCCATCTAGTATTGGCAACTGTCATGAGGAATCGACCAATAAGTCACAGGTTACCCAGTTTAATTAGAATATGTAACAAGTCTAAATTTGAACTTTTCTTCCAGCCAAAACTCAAGCCGTAGCACAGGTTAACAACTCAGACTTATTTATAATGATGTAATGAAAAATTAATTATGTGATAGATTTTCAGGTGATACTAATCTATAAAAAATAAGATCAAAACACAGGTTCCCACCTTTCTACACACCTTTCTTACTCAAAATATCACATCTGACTCAGTTTTTAAAAGGTTTTTCTTCACTTCCTCCTTTTTCTACTTAGAGGATCCCAGATTTCTTACTTGTCCTTTAATTTCTGTATCATAATCAAAACAGTGGTTTCAAGGATCAGGAAGTTGCCAAGTTGTCGAGTCAAACCTATTTTTGCACAGAAGGGTATCTACCATACTTGTATTGTAGATGCAGCCTCAAACTCAGTGCAGGAAAAGTGATATAGCCATATGAAAATCTATACTTAGCTCAGAAATAAATTCATGAACACTGAATGAAATGTCTGGTCATCCAAGGAGTTGACTGCAAAAACCTTATGCTGAATGAATGTCGTTTTAAGCCCTGGGTTAAAAGAAAACTAAATGATGCATTCTATTGAAGCTATTGATAACTTGTCACTAATACTTATAAAAAAAAAAAAAACATTTAATATGTATTCAATTGGTAATGTTACTGTTTTTTTTTTTTCAAATACACCAGTAAGTGCATCTGTACAATTGACCTTGAAAGCTACTGTGCAAGTATGTGCATGTTGGTGTAATAACTGATTGTGAAATAGATGAACCATCACACATGTTTGTTCTTGTTTCTTTTTGCCTTTAGTCATCAGATGGACCCACATAATCATCAGCTGGGCCATGAGCATTGCTTCTGTCATAGCCAGTGTTTCCACCTCCTCCCCCTCCACCAGACTCGGCAATCGGACGCTTATAAACACCTATCTCCTTATGACAATTGGGACATTGATGGGCAACATCCTTGGCACAATCAGTACAAAATGGAATGCAACAACAACTGAAAACAGTAAATTTCATACAGTTCATGTGAAATCCATTTAAGCAGCCATTTGCTATTAACCCTTTACACTCTAACATCAGTATGTATAGTCTCCATACTGTTCTCTCTACAATATAATTTCAATATATCAACATAGTTGAAATGGTAAATTGGCAACCGTTACGATTATAAAAGCTGATGTTTCGAGCGTTAGCCCTTCGTCAGAGCGAATGACGAAGGGCTAATGTTCAAAACGTCAGCTTTTATAATTGTAATGGTGGCCAATTTACCACTTCAACTTTGTTGATATGTAGAAATTATTTCGTTACCCCTACCAACGCAGCCCCAAACAGTTTCTTTAGAAACTATCAGCCTTTGTTCTCTATACAGTTCCTTGGGTGTGAACAAGGAGAATTTGTGAAACAGTCAAGAGCTTCCTTAGTTGGTGATCATTTCCTTTACTCTCATGACCTTGATATTTAATTCAGAGGTGATACTGTTAGAAGAAATTGGAGGCCAATCACTCAGAGGTCAAAGGGTTAAGCATGCATTTGCTATTAAGTGGTCACTAAAATCAAAGTTTTTGAGTTACTCTCTGGGTGTATTGGTACAAGGTGTTTATGAAATGGAATGACCCTTTCCCACATTTAAAAATAACTGCTATGTGACCATTTTTTTCTTTCTTTGCAGTTTATATAAGTAGACCAGGGCTCGACACTAACTTTTCAACTAACTAGCTAAGTGACTGGTGACAACTTAGATGTTACAATATCAGTTTGTTTACTACCCAAACTAGCTAGTGGAAATGGAAAACCACTTGCCAAAACTGAATTTCTACTAGTCTGTGGCTAGTTGGCTACCATTAGTGTCAAGCCCTGCTAGATCCAGTTTCCAGGATATTTGCCATTCAGATAAGAATTCTTAAGGGGGCTAAAGGGTATTTGACTGCCCAAGATTTGGATGTGAACACAGTGTGAACTTAAAACATGTCAACAAGTGGAACAAATGTAACAGCTCAATATGATTGCTTAACTGTTTTTCAAAAAGCTGAATAAAATAAAACAGGTTTTACATAATGGACTTTAGGGTTCCCAGTACCATAGTTAATTGAATCAGTGTTTTCTTTTCTGTCAACCTCATTTTCAGGTGTAGAAGGCCTGTAGATATCTACAGGCCTTCTACACCTGAAAATGAGGTTGACAGAAAAGAAAACACTGGGTGAAAGCTAAAAAAAGGGTCAAGGATTTGAAAGTTTTTGCATGCTCAGATATCGATCCTGATGAAGTTCTCTTTTAACCAACTATTGTTTTGGGAGTAAAAAAAGAGATCTTTCAAATGAAATTTATAGCATTTCCTATTTTCTCAACTTTAAAATGATTCTTACAGATAGTTTCTTTGATAAACAATTCAGAATAAAAACTAGTGATAAAAAAACAATGCTTCAATCTCTCTGAGAACATTTTCAAGTTGTAGAAAAGTGAATGAAATATTCATATGTAAGTATTGACTGTAAAAATTTCACATATTTGTGAAAATTGTGGATTTAGGCTGTGCTATGCTGTCAGTCAAGAAAACCTGCCTCTTGCAACCAGACAGGTGTGATGTAAAACTTAAGCCAAAAGCAACTTTCTCACTTACCTCTTCCCATACCGGTGCACATTTACACGTATTTACATAGGGTTTTCATTAGCTTTTGCTATGTTTTCATTTATTCTGAACTCTATCTACAAAACCGAAAAAAAAAAAACTTACCCAAAACAAGACAGTATACAACAGTACAAAAATGTTGTGTTTCCAACACGGTGATCAAGCTGGGTAGAAATGGTTGCTCCACAATGTGGACAGCGCATTGTTACAGGGAACTGTTTAAGAACTATGGGCTGGGGAAGTCCAACAGGCTGTTGGATCACTGTTAATGTTTGGGTCCCTGGTGCACCATATCCAGGCTACAAGAGAGTCACATCAAGAAAGTTCATAGTTGTTACATGTACATTAGCAATGAAACAACTAACGTAGCTGGTTTTCTAAAATGAACAAAAAACAACCTGCAGTTATTCATACGATCATAAAATTTGTGAGAAGAAAAACTTAAAATGGACCCCTTCGACCAAGTAGACTCCTTTCGGCAAGCGTTACCCCCGCTTTGGTCGAAACATACACAAGCACCAGAGGAACACGCTAGATCTTATGTCGTAGCTCTGCCAAAAAATAATTTTTTTGTTAACTGACTCCTTCATTAGTGAAATCCAGTGATCTGAAAAAGGTAATTTGGCGATATCAACTAGGTTGAAATATTGTAAATTGGCCACCGTAAAGAGTTAAAAAGCTGACGTTTCGAGCGATAATGTGAGTTTTATGGACTGACATAACATTTGAGTATACCCGATCACTTAATTAATAATCATACTTGGAAGTTTTTTGGTTTTGGGCCGATTTTTGGACGTACCACCGAATCGAAGGTACAATGGAAGGTCAATCGTTCTTTTCAACGTACATTTTTTGTAACAAACAAATACTCAGTGCAGGCGGTCACAACAATTCAATGACTTAATGACTCTTAACAGAGAAAATGGTAACGTCAAAAAAAAAAAAAGGCAGCCTCCACTGATGGATTAAAACTAAGTATATTTAACATTTTCCAAACCTGATAGTAAGCTTGAGGAGCGTACTGGCCTTGAGGTGGTGCTTGTGGAGGGTAGTAGCCGGGTTGTTGTGGAGGATAGTAATTTGGGGGATACTGTCCTTGATTCACACCATAATTCTGTCCTTGTGGAGCTGCCATAATTACTTTAGATCACAATTCTGTTAATGCTGAAATCGAAAGTCTGACATAGCGTCAAAGTAGTCCAAATTCCGCATTCGTCGTGTAAACACGCATTGCATTGCCTAACGGGAATCCTTTGGGAACAGCTGAGCATGCAAAGTGATGCGTGACAAATTTCCATCTCGAGCCCAGGGTCATGGGTATGGTAGCTTTGATAAAATATATGTCCCTGTACATGAAATACCTACCCAATGGCAGCCATGAGACGGAATGTTGGTATCAAGGTGAAGTTTGACATAAAAAAAAGACCTTTTGAAACCCACGAGACGGTACTTAAAGTTGAAAGGAACATTATAAAGGAATCGCGCAAAGGAAGCATCTACAGATATATTTGGAGCTCATTTCTACTGCTGCCGTTTTTGGAACGCTAACCAAGTTGGTTTCTACAGTACCTAAGGTCAAATGACCAGAAAACGGTTCAGACAAGTGAAGAATAAAAAAGGGACATATTGAAGGTGAAATAAGCTCTAGCGGTCTTCCATCACGACGATTTGAGAACGTCTGCACATCACAGTAGTGCAGTAGAAGGGAAGTATTTAAGAAATAGTAATAATAATAATTATAACAATAATAAAACCATCAACGGATAGTTAACACTACAAGTAAAAAGACCGCTCACTTGCATTAAAATAAATAAAATAAAAAAAACTCAATGGTGATTTATTTCGAACAAAGTGTTCACACCGATCTGATTACTACTGAAACGTATGCAATTTACGAATGTCAATACTAATCATCTCCCTTGTATAAATCAATTAAACAATTAAATATAACAGGAACCTTAGTGTTACCTCAATTTTGGATCATTCAGATTAAATAGAATTTTAAACTAACGAAACCGTGTAACCTTCATTTGGGGAGAATTGATGAAATGTTATGAGCTGAATCAGATCAATTTCAATGCTGAGCAACAGTGCACCACCCCTCACCTAACCCAACATTAACCTTAACTTGCTATCAGTTGACTGTTGTTGGCTAGGGGAGGGGTGGGTGCACAGTTGCTCAGACGCTTGCATTGGTCCGCTTAATCTTGGGCAAACAACGAGTTTGTCTCCCCAACAATGGAACTCAAGTTCTCTGGCTCCATCGCGCTACTTAGCAATACTGGACACAAGTCAGTTGCATTTTCATGACTCGGTGGTCTTTCGGGTAACGCATGCGTATGTTGGGTAGGAAGTGGAGGAAGTGTATCAAGTGTTAGAGGTTCCTCCAAACTGAACATGGTTGGAACGAACGATGCTGGGAGTAAACTTGTTTGAGCTCGGTCGGTGAAGTGCTGTGTTGAAAAACTTCGGTCTTGCGGCTGAAAATCTGGATGGGTTTCATGTTGACTAGGATAATATTCATTATCAAGTAACTTGGCTGCAGGCCGGACGAATGACGGTGGAGAATAGCAACTGTCTAAAAGGGAAGTCTCATTCGCATCCATGGGTGACAAGATGAAATCGTTTGAAACGTCACAAGAATCATTGGCTGTATCGTTTACTGTGTGACTGGTGGAGTCCTGTGAAGTTACTCTGGAGTCACCTGGTTTTTCATCCTTCTTTCTGGAAGGCTTTCTAGCTCGTTTATTTTTCTTTTTCGTTTTATTCCCTTTCGCTTGCGAATTCTGCAGCTTTTTCTGTTGTTTCTCATGTTCTCTACAAGGAAGGTGCTTTCTGAGGCACACTCTTTGGTTGAATGTCTTTTGGCATGTATCACATTTGAAAGGTTTATTCTCAGAATGAATGACTTTATGTTGCTTAAAGTGATCTGGACGCTTGAAACCTTTGCCACAGACCTAAGATGAGAATATGTATTAGTAAAAGCAGAAAAAAAAGACAGTGATTTTTGGTTTTCATTAAGTATTTGTGAATAAAAATCATATTCAAAATGAAAAAAAAGAAAAAAATTGGAGCTACAAAACTGTCAGAACTAACAACAACAAATACTCCTTAGTGTCTATAATTGAGGTCCTTGAAGTTGGCTTAATCTTTGTGTTGTAATACAAAACTGCCAGTTCACCGTCACCTAGGATGCTTGAACACAACTTCTCCATATGCCTTGGTTTTCCTTCACTTTGCTTTGTGATAGGTCCAGAAAACTCACCCCATCCGCTCAAACCATCAGATGCCAAACTATAAACAATAGCAACCTTGCTATTCGCATTTTCCCACGCTTCAAGGAATTTCCTTGTTTTTACCTTAAGTTCTCATTGGTCAGTGATACGTAAACGAAGTTCTGATTAGTTGCTGGGATTGTTTTGGTTCTTTGACACTAAATTGAAAATTGCTATATGGGCTCTGCAATGTTACAAGTATTTTAAGTGGCATTCCCTGATCTCTTCAATTAAAAAATTAAAATCAAAAGAATAAGGGGAAAAAAAGGAGAGAAGAAATTAACTTATGAAAAGCAAACACAGCTTAAGTCATTACCTCACAGACGAATGGCTTTTCGTTTGAGTGTGAAAGAGAGTGCATCTTGAGTCCATATGACTTGGCAAACAGCTTGCCACATGCTTGGCACTTGTAAGGGAGGATGCCAGTGTGTTTAGTAATGTGGGTCGTTAGACTTGAAGAATTAAAGAACATCGCGTCGCAGTATTTACACTTATATGGCTTCTCACCAGTGTGTCGTCGTCTGTGTTCCTTCAGGGTTCCTAAAATAGACCCACAAAGTAAAAAACTAGTTACACACCATGAAATTGCCCAAAAACTTTGCGCGAGTTTTGTACGTCAAGGGAGACCTTAAGTCTACGTGTCTGCTGCTGTAATTCTTGACTGCGATTAGTAACCCTTGAACTCCCTGAGGTGATTCACAGGTAAGTATTCCCTATAATATCCATTACATTATCCAGGAAATAGGAATTGAGAATATTTAAAATTGTCAGGTAGAAGTTGTCATCTTGATCTAACTCCAAACCCTCATAACTAACTCACAAGGAGATGATGTAACAGTCAAAGGGGAGAATTAACAATCAGATCTTGGGAGTCAGACGGCTGGTTTAAGATAGCAGCAACAAATGCACACTTACGTTGATGAGAAAAAAGTTTGTCACAAACATCACATTTAAAGTCCTTGGCTCCACTATGTTTGACTCCATGGCGCTTGAGATAGGCCTTGTCTTTGAAAGTTGCATCGCACACTTCACACTTGTGAGGTCGCTCGTCAGCGTGAAGTTTCTTGTGCTTCTTAAGGAAGCTTGTTGTTACACAAATCTGCTCACACTGGTCACACTGATAGAATTTCCGACAGTCTGTACAGATAGAAAGCTGCAGTGTCACAAGAATTGGATAGAGGGAAAATTTGACATGTTCCAAAAAGGATGGCCAACATGAAAATTTAACCCTTTACACCATAACATCAGTATACCTATTCTCCATACTGTTCTCTATACCTTTCCCAAGGTGCTGACAAGGAGAATTTGTTGAACAATCAAGAGCTTCTTTAGTTTGAGATCCTTTCCTTTATTCTTGTGACCTTAATGTATGGTTTCAGGGGTGATATTGTTGGGAGAAATTATCGGTAGATACCAGTCACTCTTGGAGGCTAAAGGGTTAACGAAAATTAATATGAATACTTTGGCAGTTTTGTTGTAGGTTCTACATCATTCCCTAAAATTCTAGTTAGTACATCAGTATATCACATGTTTTCTAACAAATTTGCTACAACTACTTTCCTTTAAGTTAGTTATTACCAAAAAATCATAACAACAATTGTGTCACTCAAGTTCCAGGTAAGAACCACTTCATTGTGTCTTTGTTACTGACAAGGATCAGTCTTGCCTTGCACTGGAGTTCTTACATAGCTTAAATACCTGGCTTTGCATCAAAGTGTGCTCTTAACTCACACCATTGATAAAATCGCATTCCACAAGCCTGACAACCACAGCAGACTTTTGGCGGGTCATCTTTGCTGTCTGAAGATACAAATAAAGAATAAAAAAAGTTTCATAGATGAAATAAATATTTAGAAGGAAACACACATTGTCACCAAACTCATGTATACTTTGGATCAATGTCTGTATCTGAGTAACTACCCACCCACCCCTCCCTAAACCCTAACAGTCAACCGACAACAAGTTAGAGTTAATTTTGGGTTAAGGGAGGGGTGGGTGCACAGTTGCTCAGATATACAAATTGATCCTTTACCTCTGCCAGAACTTGATCAGACGGGACACAAAACACAATCATTCTGCACTTTAGTGGATGTGGTCAATCGTTGCAAAAAAGTGTTTTTTGAAAGAAAAGCTACAGTAAAGTTTAAGAGTAGGAAGTTTGCAAACCTCGTTTTGTAACCTCAGGTCTGCAAGTTGTAAGGCTGTCAATGTCATTGACACTGGGGTCTGTGTTCATTACGCTGTTGACATCAATGCAAAGTTCATTTTCTGATTCTTCTGAACATGTCTGAATTGAGTAAAATAAAGTAAATACAAATCAACACTTCAACTCCCAAGATCTGTTTGTTAATTGTCCCTTCTAGTGGCTACACATTTGCTTGTAAATCAGTTACAAGATTTTTGTTGTTGAATCAAGATAACAACTTCTTCCTGAGAAGTCTGAGTATTGTCATTACCAGTTTGCCATAAGGTAAAGTACAGTGGAACCTTGATTTAATGAACTTCTGTATAACGAAGTCTTCGGTATAATAAACGATACTTCAGTTTCAGCTTGACTAAAGTTACCGTAAAATGTATGCCACAGAACCTCGATATAATGAACCCTCCCATATAACGAACCAATTTCCCTAGTCCCTTGGCACTTCGTTAAATTGAGGTTCCACTGTAACATGTTACCCAGTACTCACTTTTGGTAATAAAAAAGTTAATTTTATGTGTAAAGGAGTTTTTATTTTAGAATCAATAAAAAAAAAAAAAAAAAAACCAGGAAAATAATACATGCAAGTGAATAATACAAGAATTTTTTTGAGAGAGAGAGAGAGAGAGAGAGCCTTCAAGTCTCATACTGGGCAATTTCTCAAATAAAATTTTCTCACCTTTTTGTTTGGACATATTTGTCTTTTGACAACTTGTTTATTCTTCCTTTTTGGTGCTGTTTCCATGTAAGGTGTGAAGTCTTCATCACTGTCATTATCCAGAGGTTCTTCGGAATCTGAAGAAAACGTCTCTTCATCTTCTTCACCGTGATCCACAACTGCACATTCTGATGGGGAAGAAACCAAACCTCTGTGAGCTTTTGTTGCAGGATGTTAACTATGCCTTACAAAGCACCATATATTGTTTTGTAAAACTTTAGATGGGGCTTTGTTAAATTAATACATTTGTAAGTTCTTGGTTTTTTTCTTTAACATGCAACTTACAATGATCAACAATAATAATTTAAAAATTTTTGATGGGAACTCTTTATGGTCACTTACTTAATTATGAATTGTCAATTTATCTAGATACAACCATCAGTGATAAACAAATCTTTTACATCATAAATTAATTTTTTTTCACCACAATTAGGAATAAGGTCATAGTAGTAGCAAGTAGAATAAATATTGTAAGAAATATACAACTTTTTTTAAGATGTTTTGGCATGCTTATGCCATTTTCAATCAATGAGTAACTGAATGTGAGTAATTATATAACAGACAAGTAGATGAATAAAATAGTTACAGTATGATGTAATACAAAAGCGGGTGCTAATTATGTTTGTTGTTACGCTGTAATTAGTACCCGCTTTTGTATAACATCATACTGTAAATATTTTATTCATCTACTTGTCTGTTATATAATTACTCATGTTCAGTTACTCATTGATTGAAAATGGCATAAGCATGCCGAAACATGTCTCTAAAAAAAGTTGTATATTTCTTACAATTAGGAGTAACCAATGACAAATCTCACCAGAATTATGACACTCTTTGATGTGCTGAGTAATATCTTGCTTCTTCTTGCACAACACAGAGCAGAAAGGACATGAATGTGTTTCAGAAACTTGATCTATATCATCTACTACTGGGCTATGATAAACAAATGATGCTACATCAATAGCCAAGTCTTTCTCACCACTGCTACCATTGACAACTTTTGATATATTTTCTTTTGATTCCTTATTTATTTTTTTATTTTTCTTCTTATCCTTAATGTTCAAAGATCTTGTATCAGGCATTTGATATTTCTGAATTAGCTGTTTTCTCCATGCAGTTCTTTTTGCTGCTCTTGGATAAGAAGTCACTCTTCTTGTTGTTAAGCTTTCAGCTGATTTCAATCCTAACTCCTGAACAAGGTTGCTGTCATTGTCACTAACTGCACCAGTAACATCATCTGAAGACAGATCTTCAGAATCTGATCTGCACAACACTTCTTTGTAAACTCTTTTGACTCCATTTCTCTTTCTTTGCTTTCTATTCAGGTAAAGAAATAACACAGTATCATTTTTATGAAAAATCTCAGCTGTCTTGAATCTCAAATCCTTGAATCTAATTAGGTAATGACTTGCTCTTAACCAGGCAAGCTTTTCACATTACTAATAGTGGTCCAGAATTTTTTTCATGCCATTTGCAGCAAAGAGGAAAAAGAGTGAATTAGCAGAAAAAAGATAAATAAATTATGCTATTTAATGGCTTAAGTCAATCTGTAAGGGAAAAACTGTACCCTTGGTCTTGACTACAGTTATTGTGTAAGCCGCATTAAACTTAAACTACAGTGAATACCTCTTTCTATTTGGAAGCTTAGGGTGGATATCACTACAATGCTAGAGAAACCAACATTAAGGCACTCAGTGATTTCAACCAACCAAGAGGAGTGCTCGTACACCAACATGAGCATGGGTATCTGCTTTGTGCTTCACAACTCTTGTTGGTTCAGCTTGGATAAGCTATATATGCATTTGTTACTCACTAGGCTCAAGATAGTCTAAGATTAACTAAAGGATACCACTTTTTAATACCCTGTACCTTTCTATATTGAGAACTTTTGAATTCATGTGGATATCTTCACTTTCTTCATCCTAAAATTGGCCATAGATCAAAAAATAAATTATTAATTAACAAAGAAGTTTATTATGTAGGATTGAAAAACTTTTAGTTGACCCATTTTAAACAGGGTCAGGCAATGATACAACCTTCCAGCTATCTAGATGAGGCTTGCAAGGATGACATGTTGCATGGCGTAATCAGTTCAATGTGAACAAGACTCTTCTAATAATGAGAGCTTGGAATTTTCTTTCTGTGTATTGTAGTGAAAGAAAATTTCTCATAGAGACAGAAGTGCTTACTGTTTCAACCCACCAACAAAAATATCACTTTACTTGTCAATTTTCTTCCTTACTATTTTTCTTTCAACAAGAGTGACAAGTGAAGGTACAAAAACATATTTTCCTTGTAGACTAAATTCTTTTATGATCACAAGAAACTAAATAATGAACCTAAAAGATTGCAGGTAGCCAAGACAATTGGAAATGAGAAAAGACGATAAAAACTGAAAGGAAACATCTTTTTCCAGAACATTTTCATTCACCTAAATTTTCCAAAAACAAACCATTTCCATTTTTTTTCCACCCCTAAAGCAAACCTTGGTATTGGTGACGACTGTTTCATACATAAGTGATTTATTTAAAAAATAGTTCATATGATATTAAATATCATCCCTAAAATGATTTCACAAGTTTGGTCTAAAAGCAACAAGTCATCATTTGGGATCCTTAAAATAATGAGAAAATTTTATTTTAAAAGAAAGATTTACAAAACAAGCTTGTGCTCAAAACATTTGCCTGTTTAAAGGTCGACTGTTTAGACATTGAATCCAGCTTGAAGAGTAATTGTTAACCCTTCCACTCCCAAGACCTTCTTAGGAATTCTCTTAACTATCTGCCATACAATTCTTATCATGTGAATTTGGAGAATTTGGTATTGGATCAACTAAAACACCCTTTATTCTCAACACTTGTCTGCTTGATATTGTATCGATATTGTAAGGAGAAATTCTGTCTTGGTCACGCTTGGGAGTGAAAGGGTTAATTCTCAAGATCTCTTGAAAACGTCATTTTGGAAGTTTCACTTTTCAACACTTCCTAGCTTATAGATTCTGTAAACAAATTTATGTTTCATTTTCCCTTGCGTTAAACGAAGATAAAGAATTTGAAACCAGAAAAACTAGAAATTAAGAAATTTTGAGCTAAAATCTAGCAAAACACAACGCTAAGCCACAGCACAAAAGTCCTTACTATCATTAATGAATAATTTTGGAGGCGTTCCCGCGAGTGCAAGCAGGAATCGTCTTTGAAACTGAACTTTCGCTTTCCGTAATTCAATCTTTGCACGTTGAACACACCATTTCAGGAAAGGTTATCTAATGAGAACACAGCCTCAAAAATTTAAGACATTTCTTTGTTTCATCCACGGTTCTAGTGCGAGTGTAAAGAAAGTGATAGAGTAAGCTGACTTTTAGTTTAGTGACAATAACTGACAAAGAGTGTGATACTACTTACACGCGCTGGACTCTTTCTTTCGCACTGTTCGGAGAGCTTTTCAATTATTGAGTGAAGTTTTAGTCTGTAAAATCATCAAATGTCTCGTTACTCTACATTAAGGCTTACAATGCTTTGTAAACTGATACAAAGACACGCACACCACTTACCCACGTTTTCTGCCAGTCGCCATGTTGTTGTAGTTTGACCAATCTTAGTGTCAAGTACGCAAGATGAGGTGTCTCCGTCGAACCGCGCGGCTCTGGTGACCACATTAGTTTTAAACATGGCGGGGTGAAAAAGCGAAGTGGAAACATTCAAATATTTACAAGATCATGGAGAATCACAAGGCTAAACTCATTCATATACTAGAGGATGCACTGGTAAATACGTTATTCTACCTATGTGAATTTGACCACGTGGACAATACACATTTAGATCCGTATTCACTTTGGATGGTTCAGGCGAGCTATTTATTACTTCCGCACTAACAAAAGCTCCGTAAACATCTGGGGCTAGGCAATGCACGCGACAATATAACAAACAAAAACCGCTAAATTCTATTACTATTTAAAATGTAACTCGTCACTGGGCTGTTTTTATTTTCAATTCATTTGTACTCCGATCTTTCAGTTTTACTTTGTAGAAAGTGAAATAATTTTTTTGTATCAAATTCCTGATCAAATTTTCAAATTGTGGCTAAAACAGTGTAGTTATCAAACCGAAATGCAGAGCAGTTTACTGGCCAAACCTTAAAATCTTGAAATGTTCAAAGGATGGGAAATCTAGAGCATACACACTCCGTTTAAACTATCGTGACTACAGTTGTGTGTGTATATATTTAGATCCAGTTTGCCCAGCCTTATATCACAAATTCTTTGACTCCCAAGATCTTATTTTTAATTCTTCCCTCTTGCTGGTACACATTTCTTGTCAATTAATCACGAGATTTTGGTGTTAGATCATGATAACTTCTACCTGATAAGTGATTCTAAAATTTATGATATTGATCATTATTAAATAGTAATATTTATTCATTATTTTAATCTATAGGGAGTTGAGGCAATGGAAACTGCATTTTGCGGGTATAAATTGTTTATTATAGTATTGACATGAATGTAAATATTCCCAACATGTTATTCTCAGTTTTACTGACTTTTTGCATGTGGTGAAGCCTTCATGAACTTAATTTTTTTTTCCAAAGAATGATAGTCCACAATGAAGAGGATGAAGATCGAGATATCAAGGAGATTTTCCAAAGGGATTTTAAACTTTTCTGGGCTGGTGTTCTTGTGGTAAATTATTTACTCATACATATACACAGTTTACCTGTCCATAGTCTGAATGTCAGCTGTCCTCTCCCCCTAACCCTGGGGTACACATCCTGTGGGTTAGAGGGAGAGGACAGCAGACATTCAAATTACTGTCCATGAAATTGCAATTTCTTTCCAGTAGAGTATCGGTATTTCAAACCTTGGGTATTAAATGTGTTTAAAAGTTGTGCCCACATCTCTTGGCATAACTTTATGACTCAGTTTTGTAATTTGTAATTCTTAGGTTATTGTAGGTAGCTTGAACCCTTGGTGATTAGCATATTTTGTGCAGATTCTCAAGTAGCATTTTAGATAACCATTTTCAGATTCCTTTGTAATAAATAGAACTAAATTAATTAAGAGTTTAATTCGATGTAAGAAAAAAGTTCTTTTAGGTTGTAGTGATTATGGCACATTACTGCCCTAGTTTAAATTTTAGGTCATAACTCTAGCTGCTACACTTTCAAGCTGATTGCTTGAAACATTTATTCAGTCATTTTGTTGTAATTTGTAATCTTTTATACATTCACACTTTTTTGCTTTTTTTAACAATAGTTTTTCAAACTTTGTTTTTAATTCCAGGATGCTAGGGAACAACTTCTCCTTGACTTTGTTTCATTCATTTACAATGAACACAACCCAAGAAGGATTGATATTGCCTTTGGTTTACTTGGAAGTTTAGTTGAAAGTTCATTGGTTCCTGCTAGGTATTATAACCAAAATCATTCAAAGCGCATTAGAACATTGCATGGAAATGCACTATAGAAATTGATATTATTATTATTATTCTCTATTCATTCTAATAATACTTTTATTAGTAATAATCAGAGATTAGGGAGATGCATTTGACCATTTGGGACAAGCAAGCACACCAACATGCAAGGCAAAATGTGAAACTCAACACCCGCTAGAAACAAAGCACATGGAATGACGTCATTCGCCCCTGAATAATTTTTCACCCCTGAATAATTCTTAGGGGGGCCAAATTGGTGTCCATGAATACATAATCCAAAAATGTAGATTTCGACTGCATTATGAATGTGTTCTTTGTCAAACACAATTAGTCAGTGCTAAAAAAGACTTTCTATAAATTAGTTTACCAACTGTATCCATTTTATGTTGCTCTAGATAGCCAGTTAGAAATGGTTTGCTTGTTGTAGATCTGGCCCAGGTAGTTAGAAAGATAGATAACATTACCCACAGGATAAATCTTTTTGTGGTGGATAGTGCAGTGTCTTTTGTTAATTCTTGTCTGCTGGAAATTAAGTTAGTCCATTTATAATGGGTTGATAGGTTGACTAGCACGCATGGTTCTATTCTATCTTCTATTCTATCCCACAGCTTTCTTATGGACTAAGATTTTTATTTATTGTAATAATGTAATTATTAATGCTATTATTATCATTAATATTATCATTATTATTATTATTTTTATTATCATTATCATTTGATGATATATTTGCAGTGAAAATGGAATAAATTAAAATCAACTTAATCTGTGGGATGGCATAATGCACTCTTTGAACAACTGGACTCTGGTGATCTTTTTACATTGTGCTTTACCCTAATTTTTTTTTTGGCCTTTACACCCTGACATCAGTATGCATATTCTTTCTACTGTTCTCTATACATTTCCTCAGGTGCTGACAAGGAGAATTTGTTTCCTTTATTCTCATGACCCTATGTTTTTTGCAGGGGTGACATTGTAAGCAGAAAGTAGATGTAAGTCATCGTAATGGGTTACAGCGAATCTCCCATTGTATGTTTTGTCTACTATTGCATTTCCTTTCCAAACATAATTCTGGGGGTTATGTGGTCATTTTACTGCAAGTCTCTATTCTCTACTGGTAGGTTCAAACAATCACTGCAAGCACAAACAGGTGATGGCTCATTTTTGAGGAAATTGAATCTCTTGATTTTAACCCTTTTGACCCCCTTAGTGTGACTAGCATCTAATTTCTCCTTACAATATCACCCCCAAATCAAACATTTAGGTCATGAGAGTAAAGGAAATGATCACCAACTAAACAAGTTGTTTATTGTTAAACAATCCTTGTCAGCACCTTAAGAAATGACTTTGTACATAGAGAACAGTATGCATGGAGAATATGCATACTAATGTTTTGGGTGTAATGAGTTAAAGCAAAGCCCAGTGCACAACCATCGCATGAAAATGAATTTGGTTGGCAAGTGAATTTAGTTCATTTGCATAGGAAAGAGTGGATGACAAGACTTTCTTTGGGAATAAGGGTAGTTATTACATGACTCGGGCAGTCAGAGGGCCAATAACTAAAATCAACCAATCAAAATGCTCTATTGCCGGTCAATATTCTCTCAGTATTGGACTGGGCACTGTCTCGAATGGTCCTGAATGATACCGCACTTGTGTCCCTTTGAACTTCAGTCGTATAATAAATCTCTTATTAACCAAGCTTGCTTGGGACCATACTGGAAGAATATTGGCCCTCGGTCTTTTTTGTACAGACCTTGCAGAGCTTGGTCTGTACTGTCAAGACCTTGGGCCAATATTCTCCCAGTATGGCCCTCGCGCTTGGTTAATAAGATATGTAGGTAATTTTGAGATGGACTCTTGTAATTTGGTGAGCAACAATAATAGGGGGTATTTAATTTTTTTCTTGAATGTATTTTTACTTGTCAAAATTGATCTGTCCAGGTTAATGTGTGAAGCTATCCTCAAGACTCCTCACCTCAGTTTCCAGAAAGAACTCATGTGGTGTAAAACATTCCAGCTTCTTTTGAAAATCGTAGGTGGGGTTGATTATAAGGTGAGAAAGAATTGTGCACTAAGCTGAATTTGAGTTTTGAAGAATCAAATTCTCACATGCAATCATCAAATGTAAACAGGGCTCGACACTAACTTTTCAACTTTGTAGCCAAGTGGCTAGTGACATCTTAGATGTTACGACAATTTCAGTTTGTTTACCAGCCAAACTGGCTAATTGAAATAAAAAACCACTAGCCAAAACTGAATTTCTTCTAGTCAGTGGTTAGTGGGCTACTGTTAGTGTTGAGCCCTAATGTAAGTTAATTTTAACACATTTTAAATCATTCTTAAATGAAAACATTTTAATGAACCTATTACTATCATTAGTTGTATATATTCTCAGATGTCCTTAGCATAATATCCCATTTGAATTTTTGTCGCAAGATTGTGACCATTACTCATTATAAGTTTATTATGACTTCCATTTATTCTGAGGGCCACTAGTTTATCAGTTTACCTAGTAATTACTGTTCAGAGTTACCCTCATCAATTAAAGTCTAAAAACTACCAATAAATAAAATGCTATACTTTTGGTTTTCATGTTGAAGAGCTGTCGTGACATCCTCAGTTTGGTATTTCACTTATTTCGTAACATTCCAACCACTGCGGATCCTGCATTTACAGACCGAATACAAGCTTGTGTTAAGGTATATTAACAACTTAAGGGCTTTATGACCTTGTAAGTAAACATCAGACTTAGACAAAGTGAAGGTGAACTTAAATAACTAGTTTTACAGTCACCTAAGTTAATGATAAATTATTATTTACCAGCTAGCTTGAAGAGCTTTCTAAAAATGAGTGATGCATTTAACTTTTTATGTTTAAAATTTGTAGGTTGTCCGTTATATTTTAGATAGGAATATATGCCTTCTGCCTGCCTATTTTGTTATTAATGAGGTGAGACATATTCTTTTGCACATTAAGTAACAAGTTCAACCACTAATAAAAGTTACATTTAGTTCAAGCATACTGATTTTGGATGTCATTAAATATCCAGTCTCCTATGCAAAAGTAGTGTAAGAAAATTTCAGATCAAATTGACAAAGTAGTTTGATTTGAATGTTTTTCTGAGCAAAAGAGCTTACTAGAAATCCCACGGAAAGAAGCTGAAAAACAAGCCAGTGTCCCTGACATGAGTTTATTGTGAGCATCATTTTAAGCCATGTGCAGCACAATCGTTATAATTAGAGTTAAACTTCCACATTTCTTTTTTCAACCTCCCAACAAAGTGTATCCCAATTGTCAATTAACCTATTGACATTGGGCAGTCAATCCCTATAACTGGCAAACATGGTAGGAAATGTTTGACAACTTCAAGCAGATCTCCTGAGTCAGCTTGTCTTCATTCCAAGAGAAAATATTTGTTACAAGTCTTAGTGAGGAAGACTTTAAAGGTTTATATGTGACAATTGCCCTGCATATTGCCAGGATTGCTACAATGGTATTAGGTACAAAAACTGAGATCTTACTGAAATGATTAGCTTGCCCTCTTGAGTGTAAAACACAATGATTTTTTCGTACAAAGAAATACGGCTGAAGGCTAGCTCTGATAAGGCTCATGGACAAGTTTATGCTGATAATAAGAGTGGTTAGAGGGGTGCAATGTGACCATTCTTTTAACTTTAGTTCAGAGGTTTTTAATAATCTTCATACCAAAACATTTTTGGTATCTAAGCTAAAGTTTGTGCAATGCAGGCACTGAGTGATTATCATGATTGTAATAAAAAGGAATTCTTTATTTTTAGATCTACAAAATTTTCCCAGAGGGTAAAGTGAAGCCTCATTGGGTATGTTTCAAGTAGTGATTCAAGAAAATTAAATTTAACTGATTCTGACATTGGTCTTGTAAAATTCCCCTTTCAACATTCAAAGTGAAATGAATAGGTAAATGAAAGCAAATAAATGATGTAATGATTGAGTCAATGATTAGAGAGATTTAGTAAAACAAACATAATAGTCTAATGACAATTACGTAGCAAGACTCATTTTCATGAGACAAAATATTCAGCAGAACAAGACAACAAAAGCAGAGAGGTAATTAATTGAGGTTCAAAGGGACTGAAACAGCAGTTGTATTACAAAAAAAAAGTTATTTATTAAATGATCAAGAAAGGAAATTTATGGCAAAGTTAATTTTACTGACTTGAAGGCATTTTTTTGGGGTAGGCTATTGCAAAGCTCCTTTCAGATTTTGCTGAGACATTCAGACCCCTTGCACGTACAGTGTCTGTGATAGGTAAGTAGTAAAAGCCCTTCAAGCTAATTTTGTAGATATGTGCCAAATCTAAATCAAAGAGTTATTGTCAGAAGATAAATTTGGTCTCTATAGGATACTATGGCCCCACTTTGATTTCTTTAGCTCTCTCACTCCCAAGATCTTAATTATAATAATTCTCCTTACTGTCTGCCATACAGTTCTTTTGATGATAATTCAAGAATGTGGCATTGGATCAATTAATAATACCCTAATTGAACATAATTTTTCTTTATTCTCATTGCTTGTCTGCTTGATGCTGTATTTATTTGTTATTGTAAGGAGAAGTTCTTGATTCTAATTCCTGGTTGCTCATCTGAGTTAATGAGTTAAGTGATACAAAACTGATGCTACAAGAACAAAGGGAAAGGAAAGTGGGTAGAGCTTAAAGCAGCTCTTTATGTTTGGAGCTCTTTGCAGTATGTCCGATATGACTGTAAGAAGACAGACATGCTGAGGCTGAATATCAGTTTTGCTTACAAGTCTGCAGAAAAAGACAAGTTTTGGTCCTGTCTAGTCTCATCTCATTTTCTCCATAGGCTACTGCAAATTTATTTATGATCGGTGAATCACAGTGTTGTCCAGAACAACCACATGTGAAGTGATCATGAAAGAACATTTGTTGTATTTTTTTTTAAAGTACTCATTTGATAATTATTGTGTAGGCATGATGTTAATTTGTGTGCCTATTTAACATAGGCCGCCCATCTCTCCTCCCGGTGATTGGTCATCCTGGCTCTTCTATTAGTGTATGGAAACTAGATCCTAACACTCTAAGTTTCCCATTAAAAGGACTTCTGCCCTATGATAAGGTACATTCAAAACATCAGATGCAATTCTTGTCAGAAGACATGCTGATTAAGATCATTTTGTTTCACCTGCATGATAATCTAAACAAGTGTATCTAATATTATATGAATTTCTAGCCAGGGTGATGTTCTTTTATATTCAAATAAAATATTGTTCATAAGAAATTCAGTAATTCAGGGACATTTGCTTATTGAAGAAAAGGGTTAACTGACTTTAATTTTTAATTGTCACAATTTACATGTATTGTACAATAACAAGGCTGCACTCTAAGGAAAATTGAATGGAGCCCAGTGCTCTGAAACTGTGAAGTCCAGGGTGCCCAGCGTATGCTTTGTTTAAAAGAGTTTTCCAAGAGCAAAAGTAAGGTGACAGGGGCCACAGGGCACTGCTAGACCACAGCCTTGCAAGACCTCTTTAAATTACTGCCACGATGGATAAACTTCAACAGAAGGAAAAATTTGTTTGAGTTTCTCCATTTTATTCTTTGACAAGTACAAGTCATTTGTTAAGATGTTTTTTAACTTCAAGTACTATACTTCAATTTTGCAGGATTTGTTGGAACCTCAGACAAAACTGTTGCAATATGTCATTGCGCAGCCATATTCCCGTGATGTTATCTGTACTATGCTAGGCCTCAATAAACAGGTCAGCTATTAGAAAGAGACTGTTTTCAATCAACTGGAATTGAGCATTAAATTTAATAGTTCTTATAACCAGATGAAGATGTTTAGTCAGTGAAGAGAAGTTTTAACACTTCAAATTGCAAGATGCAATGCAGTCTTCTCTGGAACTGCTATACATTTCTTTGTAGATTATTTAATGAGAGAATTTGATGATATTGATTACCATGTCTGTACCCATAACAACCTGTTTTCAGGATATCATATTGGAATCACAATGAGGAGTTACATATTAATCACTTTGAGAAGTTATAGGGTTGAAACATATGTAGTTTGTATGATGCACGATGTTCGCAGTAGAGAGCGCTATTTATGCAATAGTGAAAATCAGACCTGAAAAAAATCAGGCCTGTTCGGGATTTGAACCACTGACCTCTGTGATACTAGTGCAGCGCTCTACCAATTGAGCTAACAAGCCAACTGGGAACAGGCCGTTAAGTTGATTCGTAATAAACCGGTGATGATAAATCAGATACAATGCGAGGATCGTGCATCATACATATTTACTACCGCAGTTCAAAATATATGAACTTCATAAATTATATACATTGTATCTGATATGTAGTCTGCCTTGAATTCAATCATTGAGAGGTGATGTTTTCCTTTTCAGCAAAAACAGCGATGTCAGGCATTAGAAGAACTGTTGGTTGACCTGATAGTTGTAGCAATGGAAAGATCAGAGGCTAATGAAGCCAACATGAGTGAAACGGGATGTCAATTGTTGTGGCATCATTTGTCAAGCCATCTTATTTTCTTTGTGCTTTTCCAATTTGCCAGTTTCCCACACATGGTCTTATCCCTTTACACCAAGGTATAGGTTTCTATAGGAGTGCTAAAGCATGGATAAGGGAGGGAAAATGTAGTGAATAATGCACAAATGACTTGGAGATGTTTTTCTCAAATCAGGCACAAAAAAAAAAAAATAGAAAAAAATCAAGTGATCCATTATTTTTATCTTTTTTGAATGTACATAAACCAATTACCCTAAGAAGACTATGGGAAGTTGTGATTCAAGTCAAAACTTAGAGAAGCCATCTGTTACCCACCTTTCTTTTCCAGTTCTAACAAATGTAATGTTTATGGGGTATACTTCTTTTAATGGCTACCACAAGTTACCAAGCATAGGAAAAAGAAAAGTGAAAACAGTCATCTTTGGGGAGTGTTTTTTGTAAACCAATCTTTTTCCCAGACCAGTGACCACTGACCATTAGTAGCTGTCTCATATACCTAATGGTTATCAACTGAAGTTAAATTTTGGGAAATATATTGAGCCAATTAAACTTTGTGAGAAGTAAAATAAAGAATCTGAGCAATGACAGAATATTCTGCCAGGAATCCTGCCAGGATATTTCTCTTAAAAAATCATTATCTTAATCTGTCAATTTTCCTTTTCACTTTCTATATGCAGTTAAGTGGACGAAACCTTAAAAGAGGAAGGGACCACTTGATGTGGGTTCTGTTGCAGTTTATTTCTGGGAGTATTCAGAAAAATCCTGTAAGTTTACCTATGATGTATTGTAACCAACCCATAACTCTCAAGATTTTACTTACATAGATACTGACAAAGCAGACCTTTTTGCTCAGAGCTGTCAGAATAATTGTTTTTGACAATTAATTATAAATCATAATCATTCAATTCTATAATTGTACATTTAAATCAAAATAATTGTTTTTTTGTCTGACATTTGCAGCTCAGTGATTTTCATCCTGTGATGAAGTTGTTTGATTTACTTTACCCAGAAAAGCAGGTTGGTAAAAATGCAAGACAAATACTGCTATGACATTATTTAGCTCATTCTCTTTAAATTTTGGTCCTTTGAAAATGACAGCTATCTGTGGTTTAAGTTCAACTAATTTCAAAGTCATAATTTGGCAACCAGAAGTCATAAAGTGGTCACCTAAAGTAAAGCTTTAGTCAGCAGCCAAAAAAAAACATCTTTAAATTAGATCATAAGCACTAACTGATGAAATTTTACAGCTTTCCACATGACCTCCAAACACAGGTTGCCAAATTGTTGAAATTGGTGCAAAGTCATTGCCGCACTTGAAGCACCTCTCGATACTTTTCTCTGTGCATTTCCCAACTTGAAGCTCACAAAGAGAATTTGGTGAAAAATCAGGAGCTTCTTTAGTTGGTGATCATTTCCTTTATTTTGTGATCTTTATGTTTGATTCAGGGTGATAATGTAAGGAGAAAGTAGAAGCCAGTCCTAGCATTTAGCTCTTAATACAAAGCCATCCTAAACTTGCACCACAATCCTTGGTGGATAACGATACTACCTCATATTTCATATGTATCCTTAAAAAGAAATTAAAAGAAATGCTCAGATATTGCCCCAGTGGAACTGAAATTTTAGCATAAAAGGCTATTACAGCAACAGCATCTTGCAAACAACCAAATATTTACTTTTACATGTTTTTAAATCTAAAGCTAGATCATTAAATATGTTCATTCTAATTTGGAACTGAAAATATCAGAAAATATTCAACTGTTTGCCAAAACTAAAAGGCATCGGTTTGAAGCTCAGGAATTCAATTTTTGAAGTTTGTTTTCACCAGAGTAGGGACAATGCATATGTCGTAATAAGGGTGAAATCTATGAGAAGGAACAGAGCTTCTTTATTTAAGGTATTGAGTAAGTACACCAGCTGCAAATATGACCATCTCTGGTTGATTTAATCAAAGCTTGAATTTAAGTCTGTGTTGAGAAAACATAAATTATAATAGTTCTGGTAAGTTAGATGTTTAACCTCTGATCCCATATATTTCTTTTTGCAAACTTAAATTACTATTTTTCATTGTTTTTCAGCCACTGCCAATACCAGATATAACTTCTGCTGATTCGGTACACTCCTTAGCCATGGCCTGTATATGGATTCATTTATCCAAAAAGGTTTCTATTAATATTATGATGTTCAAGGAATTAATTGTAAATGCAACGTAACCACATCAGAAGTTCTTGAGGGGGGAGGAGGGGAGGGGAATCCCCTTTGGTTTGAGATATATACGCTTTTTCTGTAAACAGCAAACAGTCATCAATGATCTTAACCCTTTAACACCCACGAGTGACCAAGGCAGAATTTCTCCTAACAATATCAATACAATATTAAGCAGATATTAAGTGACGAGAATAAGGAAGCATGTCAATCATGGGACTGTTAGTTCATCTAGTACAAAATTATCTAAACTCACATCAAGTGCAAGTACTGGAGTGCTGTGTTCTACTCACTTTTTTTTTTATTGGCAAAGATTTAATGACATCCTTTATTTTTAGGCCCAATCTGAGGATGTAACTTGGAGACCACCTGTTCCCCACATACTTAAGGACCAAATTGAGTAAGTTGTCCTAAATCTTTATTTGGAAATACAGGCAAAAGTTGTTGAGACCTGTTAGCTAAGTTGATCTACCACTTTATAGTGCACTCAAGTGTCTTTTGATTTTGGAGGGGAAGTGGCCAATTGGTTCTTTTGGCAGATGAGTCACTGTACTGATTTCAAAAGCAATCTCTGTGCTCTCTTAGTTCCTCTAAACCCCTTTAAATCCAAAGATCTGACTGTTGATTCTCCACCCTAACTGCTTCATATCTCCTTGCAAACTAGTGGTGAGAATTATTGTTGTTAGATCAAGATAACAACTTCTACCTGATAAGTCTGAGTATTCTTATTACCTGTTTGCTGGGTAATGAATGGATATTAGCAGGAGAAGTTACTTTTGAGAGTTTAAGGAGACCTGATGATGGAGATTAATGACAGAGATAAAATCAGCATTTACAGGGAGAGTGTAGCTAAGTACTGTTAGTATTACTCCTAACTGCTTCTTTCAATGGAAACTGGGATAAGCTCTGGTGGTAACAGTATCACATTCACTAATTTTGTATCCAGATACCACTGCCTTCACATTTTCACTTAAACAGTTGAATTTAAAAGTTTTGAGTTGTATATTGAAAAAATATATATATACAGGTATTATGAAAAAAAGCAACAGGCTTCGCCCTTTTCCATCCTTGAGATTCTCAAAGCACTTACTGAACGTTATTTGCTTTCTTCTTTTAGATTCATACAGAACAGATCAGGGGGAGCCAGTTCATTCTCCTTGAATAATTACAAGATTCCCCTTCTCTGCAATGCTTGTAAGTATATGGGCAGCTGTTAGTTTACAAAATGCACAGGGTGAGCTAAATGGCCACACACAGAAAATATTTCTAGTTGGAGAAAAAGTGGAAAAGGCAATTGAAAAATGCCTATTTCTAAGCCCCCCCCCCCCCCCAAGAAAAAATCCTCTTAAACCTTTAGTATCATTAACTTTAGTCACCAGCACTTACAAAAGCCCATCTTCCCAACAAAAAAAGCCTTTTAATTTCATAATTGTGGGACTGAGGTAAAACAGCAGTTAAAAAGGACACATCTGTTGTTTGTGTTGATTTTTTTTGGAAGGTTACCTGTAAGCTTTTACTCTGTGTGTTAGGCCAACTTTTCTTGTCTCTTATCCAAACATAATATAACAGGGTTTCACTGGGAACGTGAAATAACTGCAATGACATGTAACCCATGTAAAATACAGCGAGAGATGACACAAACTACCAAGTCAATGTCAGTCACCATTGGTCTTCTGATCAGTGGAATGGTGAGAGGGGAGCTTCACTTAACCAATAACACAGGTTTTTTTGTGACACTCAACAGAAAACTGCTTGGAGTATTACTAATCAAAATTTTTATCAGAATTCACCAAACAACAGATTTATCAGTTAAAGGAGAGGGAGGGATCATGTGTCTTCTGTGGTGAAAAGGCTTTTTTGTACATTTTCATTGTACTTATATGCTGGCAGAATTTTTGTTAGCCCTTCTGCATCATATAGTAAATGTTTGGACCCTTTTTTAAAACTGGAGATAAATTTTACTTCCATTTTTTTACAAATTCAGCAAGGAATTAAGAGGTTTTTCTTCCCCACTGATGGACATAGCATCTACAAGCTCATTTGCAGTTGATATCTGTAGCATACAGAAAAGCAAGATTACAGACCATGAAATGCCCAACAGAATGCCATAACAAGTTTCCCAAATATACTTCCTTTTTTACTGTTTTCCAACAGACAGTACCAACCCAGAGTATTTCAGTGTTCCAATGGCTATGTTGGTTGAAATGTGTTATGGAAACAACAAAGGTTCCACGCAGCTTCCAGGCCCTTCAAACACACTTGCTGCAGCACCAACTGTTCCTTGTCCAATGAGTCTTTTGGACTCACTTACAGTCCATGCAAAAATGAGGTAAAGTGCCAAATATCCAACTGCAAGCTGATTAGGAAGTAGCTTTATATATGCAAGGAGAGATTAAGGTTGAAGACTGGCAATGGCATTCTTAATCAGGTTCAAATAATGGGTGGGGCCAGTGTGTACCCCTCATAATTTTTTGGATACTCATAGGCTCTACAATTATTTGACGTGCTTAGCTACTGTATCTATTCATTCTCTGAATTATACACTGTATGTGCTAGTATGTGGAATGGTAAGTACGCTGGACTCCTGTTCAAGTTACAGTACAGATGTGTTGTGGCTGTTGCCACAAAAATGTCAACAAACGATTATTAGTGTTAGCATAACTGTTCATATAATAATGATGCATAACTTACCACGTGTAAGATGCAAAATAACATTCAGATATGATCTAATTCGCTCTAAAAAAAACTATACATCAAATTTCCTAAAACTAAAAATTAATTATAAATCCCACTTTTTATACAATTAAAAAGCAATCATAAGATTTGATTGTTAAAAGTATGGTAACTTAGCAATTAAAATTATCTTAAAACGTTTATGATAGGTCGTAATACTAATCTTAAATCTATAAATCATAGGCTTCTTTAAACAATGAAGTTTTTATTTTAGCTTTGAAAGGCTTCAAGCTTGTTTTCATTCTTAACTGTTCTGTGCCATACTGTGGATATTGAAATATACCACCAGGTGGACCTCTTTTTATTATCCTTTTTAGGAGAGATGGACGGATCTTCTCCTGCAACCCTGATGATTTTTCTATGTAGTCTGTCCTCTCTTTGTTCAAATGATTACGAAAAGTTTGATTTATATGCTCAAAGATTCACTTTTAATAAAGGCTTTTTTTTCACCGAAAGTTATCCAGGATTTCAGTGTTTTTTCCTTCATTCTCCTCTGTGATTTGCTGGAAATACTTGTGGATCAGATTCTGAATTGATATCAGTACAAACAAAACCCTTCAATCCACTAAGACCGTTTTTTTGGTTCAGTTTTATTCACAGTATTGTTAATCGTATCATCAAGTTGGGTAACTCACAGTTTACACTTGCCTTGGCCCCTGCACTGGTGGAAACATACAGCCGTCTGCTGGTCTATATGGAGATCGAGTCTCTGGGAATCAAGAGCTTCATTAGTAAGTTCACTGGTTACCCTTGTACCCCATTCACACCAGCAAAACTTGTATAACTGGTTTTAACTGAAAGAAAATCAGAAACGGAGAACTGCAAAACTGAATTTTCCATAGATTTCGAGTAGTCACTAGCTTGTATTTTTTCAATGTGCCGAATTTAAAGTCGAAAACATTGCTTTTAGCAGTTTCTATGGATAAAACAGTTTTTAACTGTGTTTAAAATAACAGGTTTGAAACGCGTTTAAGCTTTGGTGTGAATGGGTTATTGGTCTATTCATTTGGTTGTGAAAGGTCCATCGTTTTTCTCAGGCTGAATGGGGTACATTCGGTAGCATCCAAGCGTTCATGTATAGAAAAAGAAATTGAAGAGAAGTTGTTATTGTTTCCAGTCCAGTGTTGTTATGTAACACCAAAAGTAATTTCTCACAGTCTATCGTGGGGAATGCGGAGCTAATGAAATCAAACTGACACTCTAACAGGGATCTCAATAACTTTTTTCATAAGCACCTGCCGATATTGTGCCCGGAGAAGGCGCCGCAAGGAAAAACCAATCATAAGAGCCTAGTCGCAGGCTAAACAAAGGGCGGTGAGAGGTCTTGAAGGTGATGGTAGACCGTCGTTTACCAGCTTTTTTAGAAACCCCTGACACTACGTGCCTCGGAATTTAACATTTCGTCCAATGCAGGCACAGTGAACAATGAATTGATCATCGACCTCGCAGATTGCAATGAAAATGACTGAGATTCTTTCCTTAATACATTACAGGGATGTGTTTGTTTTGAACTCTTTAAAAAGTCATTGTGAGATTAAAAAAAAATAAACATATTAAAAGTTGTCACGGTACATTTGCAATGGGAATGTTCTCTTCTGACCACCAATAGGCTCGTTGCTTCCCAATGTGTTCAAGAGTCACGCCTGGGGAATTCTCCATACACTACTGGAAATGTTCAGTTACCGGCTGCATCACATCCAACCTCACTACAGGGTTACTTTGCTTTCCCATCTACACTCGCTGGCTGCAGTGCCTCACACAAACCAGAATCAGCTTCACTTGTGGTAATTCTACTTATTAGTTTATTTCAATTGATTCGAACGGGACGTGACTATATTATTTCACTGTTTCTTGTGTTTGATCCATAAATTTCACTTTCCCAAAGTTCCAGAATGGTGTTTATCCCTTTTTTTTTCTATGAGCCTAAGTTGTTTTTGATGGCCGCAATACTTACTTTATCAAGGTTTGATAGGAGATCGTATCGATACATTGGTTTTTTAATGGATTTTTTGATGACGGGAATAAAAAAATTACTTTTTACTGGACGTACCTGTCCTTTAACACTTTACACCCTAACATCAGCATCCATATTCTCTGTACTGCTCTCAACACGTTTCCTAAGGTGTTGGCGAGGAGAATTTGTTCAACAATCAAGAGCTTCTTTAATTGATGATCGTTTCCTATATTCTCGTGACCTTAATGCGTGATTCAGGGGTGATATTGTAAGGAGAAATTAGATTTTGGTCACTCTTAGGGGTTAGAGGGTCAAACCAGCCATCAATTTAGCCCGCGAAGAGGCTCCCGGCTTGGTGGGCGCGAAGCAGGGGAAAGGGAAATTTTCAGTTGAGAGTGATTTCCAAGAATCACCACATTGAAGTTTTAAAGACAGCTTGCAACATCTGCAGTAATCATTCGGGCTTTCATGTCTCGGCTTTTTAGTTACACATAATTGTTTTGGAGTTTCTCCGTAAGACATGGCGTTTGTACGCCGGGAGCCTGTTCGTTTGTTTGTTTTCTGTTTTGGATTTTGACTTCCGGCGCGCGCTGATTGGTTGACATTTGAAAGTTAAAAATATAAGTTCTCCGCGGGGTTCTTGTGGGAGGTAGACGAGATTTAGCAAGACGCGTGCAGGCTCCCCTTCCCTTCCCCTGCTTCGCGCCCTCCAAGCCGGGAACCTTTTCGCAGGCTACCATCAATTATGATTCCTGTGCATTTTGCAGTGTCGAAAGTACCGCTCTTAGACTCATCACTGGATTAGGAAGCTCTGAAGTACAGCCACAATTGTCTCGTTTCAACTCTGAGCCTAAACAGGTAAAATGCAACGGCAGATTACTTATTTAGTGCCAGAATGAGATGATGAAGCTGCATGTGATTAAAATGTTTTAATTGAAGTCATCCTACAGGTGGACTGCTATTTTAGAAATGGCAGAGAAGCCTTAAAAAAATTAAGGCTTTGACGGTATTCGAACCCAGGCCTCCAAGATACTTCGCTCTGACGAAGGGCTAACGCTCGAGACGTCAGCTTTCTAACTCGTTACGGTGGCCAATTTACAATTTTAACTTAGTTGATATAACCAAATTACCTCCAAGATACTAGTTGAGCGACGAGGCCGTACGTTGGAAGTTGGGATTTGGGAGCGAGGCAAATTTTAGAAGTTTCCTCTGTCACGTAGAGGAATTAATTAACAGCATATAATGAAATTAATTTCATTTGACCTGCGAATGTAAATTGAGGAAATAAACATGATCCTCCCTAATGATTAAGCATGTTGTGCGTGTGAATGGTATTCAGTGCAAACCTGCAGAAACGTAAGTAAGTGGCACTTTGGCCTTGCTGTCACTACGAAAGGGTTTCTCAGTGTAAACATGTAACAATTGATAGATACGCTTGACTACATCCCTGGTCATGCGCAAAATGAGGATCTTTTCCCAGCCAAATAAGGGCAAACAGAAGTAACCTTCACATTTAAAGAAACTCTGTTTTCAAAATGTTTTCTGTGCACACCAAAGTGGAAAACTGTCGACTTCCAATTTTTCTGGTTTGGTGAGCTTTTCTAAAAAGCTCCATTTCTGGTGGATAGTTAATCCAGTCTAGTGCAGATTGGTGCGCGGCGCTTTCAAATTTCTCCAGCTTAGTGTTGGCGGGGCCAGAAAAAGATGACATTTAGAACAAGGCCAGTCAAACGTTTACTTCACAGGGTCACCTCTGTGCAAATATTAGAGGGTTCTCTAAGAACGACTAATCCTGGCAACTTTTCTTTGCAATATGACACTATGCCTTAATCATTCGGTATTATTTTCTCCTAGCTGTTGTCAGCTGAATCCGAGGAACTAAACAGGGCTCTTGTACTTACCATAGCACGTGCGATGCATATTACTTGTGAGTAGCTGGGTTATTAAATAGCAGTTTCGTTTACAGTTGTGCCTTATCCTGTTTACCCTGTGTAGTGGATTAGTTAAACTTAAACAGAATGCAAGGTCTTTGGTATTCGATCATTGAATACCAAAGACCTTACATTCTGGAGAGGAACTTGTTGCCCGAGTTGCAATGATTGCATCATTTGGAATTAGTGTTTAGTCGTTGGTCGTAAATCCTAAAGGGACCGGTCATTAATTATCACTTTCTCTTCTCTCCTGTTTTTTGCTTTAAACACACCGTTATTATTTTTTGAAGCTGCCGAATCATCTACCAACTGGTACGAAGGAATTCTAAGGTCGCTGATTACCAATACACCACATAGGTAAGAGTATGGTGAATCTACGATTCAACTCTGCGAAATTTTCAAATGATTCCTTTGCATCGCTTTGCGTATTCTTACGGCAAATAATTTAACATGTGATGACCGTGCGCTCATTAACAAACTACCAATCATTGAACCCATCGCGCTCTCTCTCTCTCTCTCTCTCTCTCTCTCTCTCTCTCTCTCTCTCTCTCTCTCTCTTTCTTTTTCTTTTCCTTCTTTGTACCTGGATTATTCTTTATGATTTATCTATTACAGCGCTTTTCAATGGAGTGTCATAGAACAAAAGCCAAAGTAATCACCACAATGGCCAATCAGAAGAATGAAAAATACCTTTAAGAGCCAATGAAAACTCAAAGTAAAACCAACCAATCCTCCTAAAGCGCGGGAAAATGCGGGCGATTAAGTCGTGGTTGGGATCAGATTTTCATCTGATTTGTTGAGAAAGTGGTGCGAGTTTTGTGGACCAATCACAGAACGAAGTAAAGCAAAGCCAAAGTAATCTGGGATTACTTTCGACACTCGATTGAAGACTGCTCTATGCTGTGACGTCAGTAGTTAAATAAAAAGCTCTAGGTTGGAATGTTATTACATTTTCTTTTTTCTCATTTTCCGCTCTGCCTAGCTGGGCCAGTCACACTCTGGCTTGTTTTCCTCAGCCACTTCGACAATTTTACACTAAAAATCCTTGCCCTCATGAAACAAAACAGGAGCTAAGACAAAGAGTCGACGACGAGTTTAGGAGATGGAGGGGTAAGTTCCATGTCTGATTAATTCTGTCCTTCGTGACATAGGCAGGGATTTCAATAACTTTTTCAATAACTTTTTCAAGCGGCTGCCGATGGCGAAATACGGCTTTGCCTGGAAAAGAGGCCGCGAGGTAAAACCCAAACGCGAGAGCCTGTTCGCAGGCTCAACAGACAGCGGTAAAAGGCCTTACAAGCGGCGTTGGACCACTAACTACATAGTTATGCACATAGTTATGCAAGGAGCTGATTTCATTGGTATTACCACAATCGTTGTGGAGGTCAGGAACTGACAATGAACCTTTTCGAAAAATCGTAGCCAAAGCCTAAAATGGAATTCTGTTTTTTTTTCAGCAATGTCGTCAGAAAAGGAAATCCTCAATCATTTTGCGGATCCATCCTCAACAAATGTTTTCATTTGGTAAGCAGTACTGTCACCATGCTCCAAGAGTTTTAAGATTTGTGTATGTACGGCCCAGGAGGTGCCGGAAATTACTCAACTCAGAGCAGTGTTAAGCTTTGGAAATATTCACTACAGAATATTCGATATGTATCTGATTTTATACTCAGTTCTGCTTACTCATGCATGGTAAATGCATTTTGGCAAACTAATTTCTTGTACATGAACTGTAGGCCCAGAAAATCCTGATTATAGGTTTTCCTACTTTACAGCATTTTGTGGAAGATGTTATTGGATTCAAACCGCCTAAACTCAGTTTGTCACAAGTAAGTTTTCAGTTCCATCTGTAGCAGGGCAGTGATTCAGCACAGGGATTAAAACCATGTTTTTATATCGATAAGGTTAAGTTTTCATTGCCAGTTTTTACTGACTCACGTTGCTTGCGCCTGAAACGATTGTTCTGATCAGCTACTGTTACAGTAGTGATTGAATGATTTTTTCTAAGTTTTAAGGATTTATGTCAGTGATTGATTTTTTTAGGCATCACTATTGCTCCAGTGATCACAACGTTCACAAACTGATGTCCGTAAAAATTTATTCAACTTCTTACTTTGTTAAACGAACACCGTGAGAACTAAAATAAAAGTACAAACAAATTACAAATGAGATCGTGTCAATAATCAGACGAAAATACATTTCATGCGACTCGAAAAGTCATAAGACAAAGGAAAAATAACAATTTACAATTAACGGTACAACGATGTCGTAAGCAACTTTCGCTTAAACTAAATTTTAAGTCTTAACTTCACAAAACGAGAAATCGCAATTAAAGAAAGAATGATACAAATTGCTCGATTAAATAAACTAAAAGGCATGAAAATATTTACCTTGGTGCCGCTATCACTAGAACAATTAAAAAGGTTTGAGCACTGCGGCTAAAACTTCGCTTTCAGTTGAAAGATCTTGCGTCAACTGATGACAAAAGAAAATAACATAACGTTTATACAGCTTGCGGGCTGTCGCGGCGCTCTCGTGAGCGCTTACGATACGCGCGTGCAACTAAATTAAAGGTCGCGCGCTGATGTTACGAGGCTGCGCGTGCAACTAAATTAAAGTTCGCGCGCTGCTATATTGCGACAGTTACAATCACAACACTGCGTGCCTTCGTTAGCATTCAATCGCCGTTTTTCATCTCGTTCATGCAGAGTTTTGGAGCGCTTAGGAGCACGAGCTCTTTCTGCGCATGTACGTGTATTTGCCGATTATTTGGTGTACGAGTTTTCAACATCCGCGGGAGGAAAACACATTAACAAGGTATGAGAAGGCAATTTATGTCTTGTGGCATTGAGGGCTGTCATACAACACAAGAGATAATCGATAGCAAGTTGGTTTTGTTGTTCTTCAGGATTACAGCTGATTTACTTAATATTTTGGCTACTGATGGTGATGTTTCGGAATACTGCTCGTTAAAACTTTCAATATCAATCAACGTTCTGTAAAATGTATCTCAAAGTGCCTCTAGTGTAAAGCTTAGTTAATAATAATGACTCAACAGCAAACAAACCCGTCGACTAATCAGAGCGCGTGTAGTATGTCGCTTGTTTAAGCAACATACCTTACTTCAGTTTCTATTGGTTTACCGGCGGAATAACCCACTTGAGATGTTGGGTTTACTTGCGTAATAAACGATACGTTTATTTACCAATCAGGGAGCTTGTAGTATCTCAGTTATTTCAGTTGTAATTCGTTATATTTAACGTTTCTCATCGTTAGTGCATTATACACCTGAATGACCTAATATGGAAGTACAACGTCGTCACTTTGGATAGGCTGGTCCTTTGTCTGGTGAGTACAATCTTTATTGCTTAGGTTTTTTTTTTTTTTTAAGAAATTGTTTCCAGAAATGTTTCTAGGTGTGTAAAAATTCAAAAGAAAGGAATGACCATTTAAATCTCTGGGTGAAGAACCGAAATGCGAATTGTATTTTATATACCCATTTTGCACGCAGTGGCTTTGAAGGTCACGCGTAGAGAAAACCTTAGCTCTGGTTTTCGAAACGTTCCAAGTAACTTCTCCTTTCTTGAAAAATAACCCTCATTATTTTCTTGCTAGGCTTTGCGAAGTCATGAAGGAAACGAAGCCCAAGTCTGCTTCTTTATCATTCAGTTGTTGTTGTTGAAGCCCCAAGACTTCAGAAACCGAGTGAATTCTTTCATACGAGATGTAAGTGCGTAGTTGCCTGGCTAATGAAAGAAGGGGAATGGGATTGCTACTAAAGAGAGTTTAGCAGTGGACATTCTACTTGGTGGCTCTTCTTGTCCGCTGTCTCCTGATCGAATTGGAATTTTGAGGGTTAGTTTTTGTGGGGGTTGTAAAACCGGAGAAAAACCCTCAGAGCGAGGACGAGAACCCACAACAAACTAAACCCACATGTAACATCAGGTCCTTGAATCGAACCTGGGCCACAGTGGTGAGGGGGGATGGGGGGGCTCTCACCGCTGCACATCCCACTCCCCATGAGTACTTTGAGTATTCAAGGGACCTTCTGTTGGGAAGGCCACAAAGAAGACTGTGATTTTCAACACCGTATTAATGAAAGGTCAGTTATTTTCTATATATTTTTACCCTTTGTTCTCTTGAAGATCAAAATAATTTTAAAATTCCTTTCTTCATTTAGAACTCTCCTCACCACTGGCAACAAAATGAATGGCATCAGAAACACATGAATTATCACACGGCAAGTTGTCCACTAGTTGGCCACATGTAATATATCACCATGCAAACAGTTGTTCATTTTATGTTATCTCTCAGTTAGTACTGGCGCTATGATTGGTCAGTTTGGTCGGGCCGTATTTCACCGTGCGGCCCGCTAAATTCAAACTTTGTTTGAATCGAAATTAAACATATTACTAACTATATTATATTACTAATCACTGAATACATTAGGTAGGTAAGAGGTGTCTCAACTGAAAAATGCCAAAACTACTTTTCTAACAAAGTTTTGTATTTATGAATTTGCTCATTTGTCACTTACCAAGATAGAAAAAAATATATCTTTCCTTGACTTTATCAGTTTGCGTTGTATAGAGCTGTCGTGACGTTTAATTGCGAAGTTAGTTTGCCGATGAGATGTTAATTTAACCCTTCAACTGCCAAGATCTGATTGTTAATTCTCCCCTCTAGCTGCTACACATTTCCTTGTAAATTAGTTACAAGAATTTGGTGTTGGATCAAGGTAACAACTTCTACCTGATAAGTTTCCGTATTCTCAACACCTGTTTGCTGGATATATAACGATATTTCTGGAAGAAGACACATGTTAATCACTTCTGCGAGTTAAGGGGTTGATATAAGGCGCTCATCAATCTTGTGGTATAGCTTTGTGTAAAACAAAATATTCAAACCAGAAAGGAACTGTTAACAAACCGTCAAATTAAGAATTAAAACCCGTCAAATGTGTGCATTGTCCACGCGAATTATCTAGAGGATGTGTGATTTCTTCTTCTTTATAGTTCAGTCTCCTCATCTCGTCTGCCTTTTTCCTCCACAGTCCTACCCTGAGAGGTTCTATTTCGAAGGTTTGTTGGAATCCGCGGGGGCCACGGTACCAACTGTACAATACTTACCCATCTACTTTGAGAATGTGTGTCTCAGGTTTTTGCCGGTAAGTTTTTAGGCATCATAAGTTGCTTACGGTATACAGAGACTTGTTGTTAGAACAGTCAAAACTGAGTTCGAGGCCTATTATATTGTCACGTTGGTGTAGAAAAGCGGTCTGCGTGTCTTGAAAGATGTAGCCAAAGATTTTGACCTTTTTAAGTGCAATTTGCCCGTTCTTTATTTGTTTTTGTTCTTTCCATTTTGTTAGCCTACTTTCAAACCAAACAAACATTTTCTGGTGTCTTCGCCTTAAAGATATCGTGACCAACGTTGAAATTGAATGTGCCCTTGCTTTGGCATAGTACTCCAGAGTTACTGAACGAGTTTTGTTCATTGTTTTTGTGGCTCCAACGTTTTCAACAATGTGACTCACCATGACAAGTGGGCGACGTACTAACGCAACAAACAGAAAAAAAAAGAGAAAACTACAATTTCGCGAGACACTAACGTAACAATAAGAAGCTTAGGCACAAACGTTTCTGAGAATCAGACAGCAACCGGAAGTTAAAGGTTCTCATTCTTGATGCTAACTACACCTTTTCGGTCAACAAAGTTTGGTTTAAAATGCTATACGATGACCTCACTGTCAATATATTGGCATCAAAGGGGTGCTAGAATAACTTTTATTCTTCTTCCGATTGCCGTCCGCGTCTCAAAATCTTCTCTGCTTAAGTTCTCTGATGAAATTAAAAAAGGACTACGAGAGCGCAAGATACTAACATATGTGCAGATGTGTATGTATGAGTGGTCCCTAATATCCATCATCTAAGTATGGCTGCCCTATCTCTCTAGCCCTTTATGGTCATTAAGGGAAGCCTATACTCTCTATTTAGTTTATGTTTGCTGTAATTTACTCGTAACTGTTGTGTACAAATACAGTTGTTGTTGCCTAAACTACAAGCGCAAGATACTAACGTGACAATGAAAGGACAGAGAACTCTACAAGTGCGCGACATACCAACAAAACAATCAAATGACAAAGAAAACTACAAGTGCGCGAGATACTAACATAACAATTAAATGACAGAGAAAACTACAAGTGCGCGAAATATTAACGTAACAATCAAATTTCAGAGAAACCTACAAGTGCACGAGATACAAACGTAACTATTAAATGACAGAGAAAACTACAAGTGCACAAGATACTGAGGTAACAGTCAAATAACAGGGAAAATCACAAGTGCGCGAGATACTAACGTAACATCACAATGACCGTAGAAATCTAGAAGTGCGCGACATACCAACAAAACAATCCAGTGACAGATAAAACTACAATTGCGCGAGATTCTAACGTAACAATTAAATGACAGAGAAATCTACAAGAGCGCGAGATACTAACGTAACAGTTAAATGACAGAGAAATCTACAAGTGCGCGAGATACTAACGTAAAAATTAAATGACTGAGAAAACTACAAGTGCGCGAGATACTAACGTAAAAATTAAATGACTGAGAAAACTACAAGTGCGCGAGATACTAACGTAAAAATTAAATGACTGAGAAATCTACAAGTGCGCGAGATACTAACGTAAAAATTAAATGACTGAGAAA